CAGAAAACTCATTTAAAAGTGTATTTATCAAATTGAATTTGTGGGTTTCAACCAATATACTTAACACTATACAATTTTTGAACAATAATTTAACTAATATTTTATAAGTTTAAAAAGTTAGAAGGCAATCGATTGACTTAAAAAAATAAAACTGAACAGCCTTTAAAGATATTGCTTTCATTTATTTTTTGTGTGTCTCATATTATTTAATTTAATTCACAGTTATATCTTTTGTTACCAACAATTCAGAAAAATTAATATGATTTAATAGCTTCCTTTTCCCTACGATTTAAATACAGATTGTGATACATTTTCCCAAGTGCACTGGCAGCAGGTTACCCCTCGCAATTTGGCCAAATAATTGGTAACTGAAAACAATAAGCTCGTTTTTCGTACTCTCCCGGCCAATCGTGGCATCTTAATGCGGCCCTGACATTTAAATAGATGCTAATTCCCATCATAACTGACTCGAGACTCCGGTCCCGTTTCCTTTCAACTGAACTAATGAATTTGAACCCGCCAGTCGATTACTGGGGCTGCTCGATTGAGACAGACTCACGACGACCCGACTTGAATCTCTACTTCCTGCTGGCCGCTTTCTTTGCGCGTGAATCCGTGTAACCGCAACCCGCACAGAAGAAAAAGACACAAAACTGTGATTTGCCCAAAAACAGAAAGCCGGCAAGAAAGCCATGCTTTGCGGATATAAACGCTTTAAAACTCCATATTGCGGCCTGGCCCGGATGCGACGACAATTGTGAAGACCAGACCAAATGGCCAAACTGCGACTCCGAGTTTAGCTGGCAAATGTCTACGCAGTGTTGTCGCTTCTCCTGCTTTTGTTGCCTCTGCTCAACTGATGTGGTTGTTGGCTGTTGGTTGTTGGTTGTTCGCTTGTTGCCGCTTCGTGTCAACTGACTGGGGGCCTTAGTTTTCGGCTTTTGTTTTCACAAGCCAAGCCGCCCCATTTTGCTTAGCCAGGCAGCAAGTTGGCCAGAGCCATCCCATAACATTTGCCTCAACGTTTCCTGTTCAGAATGTTCGCCGCTGTCCTGTGGTTGTGATTGTGTGATTCCTCCTACAAAATTGAGCAACAGTGGTTGAAAAAGATATTATAATTGTTAAAAGGTTTTTTTTCCGTTTTAAAAAAAGGGTAATTGTGAAAATCAAACTTAAAACTTCCGAAAAATGTATTTAAGTTCCTTTAAAGCATGCTTTGCTTACAATAAAAAAAAATGCTTATTTAAAAAACTAAACACTGAATGTTAATGACATGTAAATACATTTAAAATTTAATTAAAAAGTGTACGTTGTTTGTTTGTATTCGTTAAAAAGATGAAAGTGGTGTATTTCGAACGAATCCAAACAAAAAACTAATTATTTTTCAATTGAATTTTAAATGTATTTACTTGTCATTTACATTCAGTGTAAAATGCTTTTTAGAAGAAGAATAGTTAATATAAATATTTAAGTACATTACGTATTCAACAAGCCCGTTCTATGTTCAATCAATTTAAAGGAAAAACACTCCAAACCAAACCCTTTCAAGTTTTAATAATCATGTTTACATTTTTTATAGACACTACGATGGCTTTTATTTGTTTCAATGATGTATGTGCAATAAATGCCTCAGTTTCCACAAACCCAAAACCATTTCATCTTGTATTCTTACCCTTTTGGGCCACTGTTATCCTTTTGGCCCGTTCCCTGGGCAATTGTGCGTTAGATTTAAGTGCTTTCGTTTGCCAGGCTTAATTTGCATTTTTATTTTTATGTTTTCATTGAAAGCGCCAGCATCAATGGAGCCCGCTGGCTTCAGTCGAGAGCACATTTGGCTATTCCTTTGTTTTCGGCTTAAAGTTATCAGTGTCGGTAGATGTACACGGCATCAACGGTAGCAGCCGCAATAGCAACAACAACAACAGCAACAACAACAACAGAGAACAACATGCAAAATGCAAATGTTTATTGGCCAAATGCTGAACGATCTCAGCCAGCTAAACTGAGAACGGGCTAACACACTGGTCCTTCTGTTTTTTTTGGTTCCCCTTGTTTTTTTAAGCTTTCAAGCAATTGAAGCGGGTGCTGACTGCCACAAAGTTGTCGCCTTTTGTTGTGGCAGCAACCATTTTGGTAAAAACAACTAATCAATTGGCAAATGTGCCATCCGTCAATCACTGAGTCAGTTGGCGGTGGTGTAGGTCACACGACACCACACGAGTGGTGGTGGTGCAGCTCGGTGGTTGCAGTTGCAACAGCAGTTTGCAACTGCAACAGCGGCCACCGAATTGACTCGCATTCACTTTTGGGGCAAATAAAATGCCACCTTGGTTGTGAATGTCAGTTAGCCAATTTGAAAATTCATTCATTCAATGCTTTGACGACTCGCTGACTGACTATTGCCAACATTTATTATTAGCCTTTCCCAAACTGACTATTTTTGGAGCTACCGATGGCCACACAGCAGCAACAACAACAGTAGCAAAAACAGTAACAACAACAACATGCCGCACATATCACAGCAAGACAAATTTCTATATAATTGCATTTGTCGCAGGCTCCAAGCCTCGAAGTTCGAACTTCGAAGCCACCACTGGCGAGGCCAGATCGGCCAGACAATGCCAGGCATTATTTTTATATAAATTGCATGCCATTGGCCCGGCCAGTTGGCATTCCATCCAGCCAATTGCCAACCGAGAGACTCTCGGGGCAGGGTTCTCCGCTCCGATTGTATTTTTTGCCTTGCTTTTAGCCAGGCTCAAACTCTAATTGTCATTTAATGAGACACGCTCGGCATTTGCGCACGACACACGACTATCAATTTGGCAAGTTGCAGTTGGCATCAGCAGCAGCAGCAGAATCAACAGTAGAAGCCATCGATGAATCTGTTCGATTCGCTGACAAACCCATCTTGTCGTCCTGCCTCGCTACTGGAAATTAAATTCAATATTGATGAGGCGCAGATTGAAATTGCAGGGCTCTTCATTAGGAGCACCATCTGAGTCACCAAATAAAATTTAATAAAGTGGCACGCATTTTATGTGCTGGGGAATATTAACCATAAAATATGCAAACGACTTTATTTAGAACTTTAATAACTTAGATAGAATCATAATATGTTATAAGTCATTCAGCCCGTAAAAAGATGTTATAAATTGTGTATTTATACATAGCTTAAATTCCTTGGCAAGGATAAGTGAAATCCATGTCACCATTTATGTTTGTGCTTTAAATTAAAGTTGACATACAAGATAAGGTGAAAAATGAATTATTACTATAACCATCATATTGTTCAAAACACTTTAAAATTAAATCAGCCTTTTAAATAATTTTATAAGTATGTATTAATAGCTTTAATTTCTTGGCAAAGGTTAGGTAAACTCATGTCGTCAACAAATTTATTCATTTTCTTTGTGTGCCACAAATAGCATAATTTCTTATTATATTTACCTTAAGCTGCTCAAGAATGTATATTATAACATTTTATAATACGATCATACTTATATATAAAGCGAGGGCACAAAGAATAATGCGCTTACTAAAAGATTTAATCAGATAATAATGGAATCAACCCCTAAGATGATGTCAGTGGAAATATTGAGGAGATTGTTTCGCAACGAAATCCAAGAGCCTCCGTGGCGCAATTGGTTAGCGCGTTCGGCTGTTAACCGAAAGGTTGGTGGTTCGAGTCCACCCGGGGGCGAAACAACTTTTTTTTTTGTATAACCTTTTTTTTATACAATATTAAATAGCTTCCTTAATGTTTTGCTGTTAATAAAACTTATATTTATTACCTTTGTGTGGCGAATTTTAATTGTTCAATTACCGAATTGAAATCACACACGCTTTGGGAGGTCCGCAAATTTACTGCTGTGAGGAACGAATAGATAGAATAGATTAGATAAATAGGAAGAGTAGTTACAAACCAATAATTAGCTTTTTATTGATAAATGAATATTAGTCATAAGCTACTGTTTAGGGCCTTATATGTGTGTTTAAAATGCAAGCCTGGGCACAATGTAACCTTTACATGAGCAGCTCCACTTTCAGCTGCCTTTTAGTTTTTTTTTCCCCCATGCAACTGAAAACCGCGAGCGTAACAACAGTTGCACATGCACATGTTGGTGTTGCCGTGGCCAAGTATATCATGGCAACTTGGAGACAGTTTGTCGTCGTTGGCTTTGCTAATTAAAATGTCTTGGTGCTGTCACTCAAAAGGCGGTCGCCTGATCCACTGGCCAAGTCGCTTGGTTGGCAGCAGACTGCCACAACGACGACGACGATGACGACGCCCATTTTAGTCAGCTCGGCGGCAACAATGCGATTTTGCCTTTCGCGAAATGCTGCTATTGCTGCTGCTGCTACAATTTCATTGGAAGTCCGCTGATGTGGCAGGGGCACGCGGCGTATGCGCAATGCAATTTGCGATCTCCCTCGCACAAAATGGCGATCGCATTGTTACAGTTTGCAATTATTTTGATTTATTTTTTTTTATTCGTGTCGTCTCTGAGGGACAGTGGCAGCCTCTGCTGGCACTAATCAAAATTAAAATGACGCTGGCGATACCATCCAAGGCGATGCGACGACGACGACGATGATGGCCCCGCACCGATCACGTCGCTCGCCGGAGAGTCAGAAATCAATATTCTAAATTCTTTAACGCGTGTGCACATTTAAGGCAACGCCAGCTCATTGAGATGCGTGCCGGCGAACAGCCTGGCCAGCACTTATACGCAATTTCGCGCCATATTTGGTTCAAACATATTGGATTTTTTTTTTTTTTTTTTTTTTGTTATCTCGTTGTCGTCTCTTTGCTCCCTGCACTTGGCTGGCATATAGAACAGGCCACGGAGCAAACCGCAGATCTCCCGATTCCAATTCCGATTCCTATTCCTATTCCCAATCATCTCAAACTAAGCTTAGCCTTAAGATCAGCAGACCAGACTGTTTGTCTACCACCACTAATCGAGTGTCTTTGGCTTTGGCTTCTTTCTTTCCAGGATGACCGATCGCCTACTTCGTCGGGCAACGAGTCGGATGATTCGTCGGATGTGGAGATGCCAGTCGAGGCAGCCGAGGTGGCATCCAAGTTAACGGCCAGCAAAACAGAGGTATCACCGCCTCCTGCAGCGGCCTCATCTTCGGCGGCGGCCTCATCTTCTGGCTCCAAAACCATGCCAGCATTGAACTATCAGACTGAGAACACCGGACCCTCGACCTCCACAGCAGCTGCTGGAGGAGGAGGAGGAGGAGGGGGAGGAGGAGCCTCGGCGGACAGCAAGTATGTTTACCCAGCTGCCTCATTTGCCAACATACCGCAGAAAATGCTGAGGCAACTCATACAGACAGGACACTTGCAGCTTCACGCTGAAGAGGGTGAGTAACTTCAAGATTTAATACCTAAAATCTCTAAATTAAATACTATTATCTTTAACAGATGGCAATCAGTATGTGACCATACCACTCAGCTCCACGACGGCCAACCTAATCAAGAGCAATAAGTTAACAGCCTCAGCAGGATCAGGAGCTTCAGGATCAGGAAATGCATCGAAAAGCGATCCCAGTGCCGAGAAACCCTTGACTATCAAACAGGAATATGATTAGCCCCCAGCTACGCCCACTGCTTATCCAATACTGAGAACTGCGTTTATCCACACTTGCCCACAAAAACACCATCTGAAAACAAACACCAGCAGGAGATTACCATTACACACCCACTATACCCACTTAAAGTCTATCCAAAGTTTTCGCGTCATCATCCAAGGATGACGATCGCCTGCTAAGTCTAAGTCATACTATATCTACTATATCGTATATATACTATTTTTTATACCTATACAAGGAGATGTGAGAGAAGAAAACCCTGATCTGGTACCCAAGATGCCAGCGGCATATCTACATACGTAAGTTTGAAAAGTTTTGCAAGTTATACATCGTAATGGCATTAAACTGATATCGAGATGAATTATGATCGATGATTAAATGAGAAATGGAAAACAAGGATGATATGGATGTTCCTAAATCGCAGAGATCATGTTGCTTTGTTACTAGTTTATATTGTTTTATTATACAATACATAAATACATATAAACCACTTTTTTTGCATAAAACCAAATCGTTTGTTGTGTTTTATTATAATGGAATTTAAATGGCTCATGCAGATTTCAAAGCAACTAAGCTAAGACACTTATCGTTTTAATCCAGTGAAATGGGTCTAAAGCGGAAAATGGCAACGCACATCTCGAGTTCCCCACCCCAATAATTATAGACAGCTACTTGCCATACTATGTACTATATACTATATACAGTGTGTATCTATGAGAGTGCTTGGATTAAGCACACTCACAAAAAGAGCGACGGACAAATGCCTTTTGGTATTTAGCCGCTTGATGAATGTGTCCGTGGTGGGTATTGTGCAGTTGATTGATTGACGACATAATCTTATTGACACTTAACCTAATTAAACGTCGCTCATTACTTACTGGCACAGGTAGTTGTGGGTACTCGCCGTCTAGCACCTGTTACCGCTTATGGCCCTCGATTGGGGCTAAGGAGGCCCTCGTCTTCCCATTGATCTTTTGGCTGGCAGTCGGTGGAGGAGGGACGAGTACTTCCGCTTCGGCGGAGGCACTTTGCATGCAGTGGGTCTCCTCAAAAAAGGCCACAAAAGGCGCAACGTGTGGCACATACTAATGGTTGCCACATGCCAGCCAAAGCACAATGGAGCGTTTTTAATTCCTTTTCAATTAAAAAACAAAACTTGTGACCTAAAGAAAGTTTTTTTTAGAAAGGAATTCGTTTTTGATTTAAAATAATTCGTTTTTTAGAAATTAATGATTAACATACGAGACTGATATATATTTATTTTTTAAGACTTACTTTATTTAAAGAAGTTTGGAATATTGAAATTATTTTCTTTGTATTTATTTCACTTTATATTGAAAACCTTTTAAACTTTTAATGAATTATATAAAGAACACTCGCATAAAAATTCCAAATAACTTTTGTGTGCTAAACTCCTTTATATTTAGTTTTTATCTTCTAAATGTATTTACAAAACTCTTCTAAAATAATTATAATTTTGGTTAAAATCCATACCCAATGCCACTGTGCGGTGGTTAAGTGTGGACGACCTGGGCGGTGGATTGGCACGCGCCGCGGTTTCCGTGGGTTTCGGTCTTCGACTTGGACTTGGTCTTTGGCCGGAAGCCGTTAGTTGTTTGGGCCATGTGGGCTTTTATGGCCAAGTGTTGACGGCGGAGACAGAAATCAAAGGCTAAAGCTAACCATCCATCCATCCATCGATCCATCCCACTCGCTTCGCCCCGGTCAAAGTTGAGTGGGTCACTAAACTCGGATATCGACGGTGTTTGCGAATGAAACCGCAATTAGCGTTGATTATGGCCAACAGAGAGTTGATTGACATTTTGTGGGCTAGACCGCGGTGCTCATGTGTGTGTGTGTTAGTATGTGTGTGTGTGACTGTCTGCCTGGGCTTGTCCTGGCTAGCCGCTTCATTATTAACCGCACCCACGCAAAGCTCATGTGAATATTGATCCTGTTCCGTTCTGCTGTCCTGGCCATTCGGACGATTATTAATAATGGTCACGCGCGCGGAAAACTTTGCATTGCAATTTCTCCAGTCAGTTGCCATCGCATTGGCCCGACAAACGGCCGTGTCCTGGAGTGTCCTGTCCTAAAGGTATCGTTACCTACGGCAAATCCCAAGAAAATCAATACTAATGAGCCATTAAATGTGGCCCCAGCTGCAGTCGGCCATAGTCTAATGAGCTGAGCGGCGGCGGAAATTGAATGTTGGCTCTAACCAAGCGGCTGCAGCAGGAAATCACATCAGCATCGTTTTTAGCCATCTCCCCGCTAAACGGAAACGGCAAAGGAAAAGGTGAAGGTGAAGGTAAAGGTAAAGGTAGCTCTAAAACGGAAGTCTTAGCCGTAATGCCTTGCGCCTGAATGGTTGCATAGCATGGGCTGCTCCAGTTCCAAGTCCACCGCCACCGTAGACGACACCAAATTGCCGAAGACCGTTTCAGCCAAGTCAACTAAAACTAAAATGGAGTACCGTGAGTTGGGGATACAATACCGCGATTTATGGGAATTTCTAAGTACGAGAATCCCCTTTTTCAGCTGCCTCGGAGGCCTTTACCATTCCTTTGGAGAGCGAAGAAACCACGGAGATGCCGCTAAATGAGACACTGCGTCAGCCGCCGAAGAGGATTCAGCAGATGTTGCAGGAGGCAGCCAGTTCGGAGCCACCAACTTTGGAAGAACTGGAGGACAAGCAGCAAAAGGCCGAGCAACGACGTCAGGAGCTGATGCAGCAGAAATTGGAGATCATCCAGAAGAATGCCCAAATGCTGATGAGAAGTCCTGGAGAAAATCCTGGAGATGAAGAAAATACTGGAGACAAAGAGGAGAACCCCGAAAACCCCGACTAAAAAGATACTCCCTTTTTCATTCACATTTTTTATTGTTAGCTTTAAATTATATATGTATTACTATATATCGTAGTATATTTCCAAACAATTAGATTGTATGCAATTAAATCTGCTCTCATCATCAAAATGCTGTCCATCTGTTCTTGCTCCGTAATCCTATATGTCAAACCTTTTCGCTGGTAGTCAAAAAACGTGATCTATTTGTAATCGAGTGGCCGGCGTGTGCCGAGATTATATATGTACGTCTAAAGGCTATATGTTGGTATTATTTGTTGGATTGGTTGTTTGCTCGACTCGCGTTTTTGGCCTCTGTCGGATATATATTTTTTTGCAGTACTATATGCTTCATTAGGATGTGTGTGCGTGGTTGTAAATCATGTCTTTTGGGTTTGTTGGTTGGTTTACTTGTTCTTGTTGCTCTTGACTTCATATTAAACGTCGTATTCATATATATGTACTTGTATATATCGTATCGTTTAGGTATAAATATGCGTATTGTGTCACAGACACTACAAATGTCGCTTTGATTTCGGCTTGATTCGCATCTAGGCCCCGTTTTTTCACTCGGATCAACGAGGGCCAACAATTTGTTAATATTTCAATTAGTTACGTTACCTACACACTCATTAAAAATGTTCGCTCCCCCGATCGCATCGAATATATCGTAGTACCTGGATGTCGTTTTTCTTACACTGTATGTATTTTACTCTCTCATATGCTTTAAATATGCTTGCGGTTTACTTTTAATTAATTATGTTAGTTACTTGAATTGGTGCACTTCGAAGAAGCATTTGGTTTAATAGCTATGAGTTTGTGGTACGATTCGAGTATGTTGTCCAAAGAGATGGTCCGCCAGTCGATGGATTGGCCACATTCAGCACAACCTTGTGGGTTATTTAAATACTAATCCGTCCAATTATCGGCCCCCAACCCCGCCCCACATCCGTATTCCTGATCCTTCCTCAACTGGGCCATCTCTTCGACACATTTCTCAAACATATTGCTTGCGTTACTGGTTGTTACTCTTGGTTTTAAATTATCCCCTCGTCATGGGGATCCTCTCATCATCGTCAGTTACAAAAGGTTTGTTCTTAGTTGTTGAACCATGGTGGGTTGCGTTCTTAATACATACAAATAATCGTAATTTTATACATACATATTCCGATATATTAGCAGGTATGTGTCTACAAATTGATTTGCACGGTTGACGCTTGCTTGTTACTTTTGTTATGGTTTCTACGCACATGTACACAAAAAAAAAAAACTGATCCAAACTATCGAAAACGAGCAGTACAATCACAATATTCCCCCTACGATTAAATACATATTATATCATATCCCCCCAAACCTACACAACGAAAATCGGAACGAGAACATAATGTCTGCCACCGGTTGGCCAACTTGCAACCAGATCCGCGTCGCGATTCGTTGCCTGCGGAACTTAATCCTTCCTACTTTGAACTTGTATTAAAGCTTTTTGGGTTTCTGCCTCTCTGCCTTTTTCGCCATTAACTTAAGCTAACTCATTTGCCGTGTGTATAATAATAAATATATTTCCTTATATATGTGTATGTTTATGAATTGCAAATCGTAATCCATTATATTTGTATTAAATTCTTCTTGCATCGAGCATGTGCCTACCTAACAGTACGTAAACGCCTAACAAAATGGAATCTCTCGCTTTTTGGGATTATGATCATTGTGATTTACACTTTTATGGCCAGGTGCTGGGATAGGGTTGCCTCGGGAATTAAATCTAAAGACACCTTAATGAGATCTTTGGCATATTTGGAAGCAGTTGGTCGAACTTGGTTTGGGAATAAGAACTTGGTTTTGGAATAAGACAAGTCAAGAAAGTCCTGTGATCTGAGATCAAGACAATTAAGTTTTCACTTTAAGGTAAACTGAATTACTTGATCATTCAAGTTTAAATATTTTACTAGTGTTTCTTCTCATTGATAAGTTATTGCACTTTCTGAAACCATCTAAGAATTGATCCATGTCCCGTATAAACCCCAGTTCTGGCAAATAACTAAATGGCAACCCTTCTGGAATGGTAATGCGTGTATATAGTCGGGGGCTAGACATCAAAAAATCAGTACTGCTTGTCAATGGGTAATCACTAAGCCTAGTTTTGGTTTTACTGCCTCCCAAAATTTTAGCACACAACACTTATTGCAACTACTAGTAGTTAAACCGGTACTCTGGCCAGAGATTGGGTGATTAAATATAAATATAAATACATATATCTAATTGTAGACGCCGCGCACCATGCCCTCGCGATTGCGGGTGTGCCATTTGCAGGTGAGGATGCGGACGTAGGTCCGTCGGAAGGTGGCATTGCACAGGGCATAGCACATGGGATTGATCGTCGAGTTGATGTAGCAGAGGGCGTAGAAGAAGTCCCACAGCTCCGTGGGTATGCAGTCGGAGCAGGTGGTCAGCGGCTTGATCAGCACCAGGATGTTGTACGGTGTCCACGTGATGATGAAGCTCAGCAGGATGGCCGACAGCGTCTTGGCCGCCTTCGACTCCTGCCTCTTCTCCTGTGATTTCTTTTTCTTCTTGGCCGCATTGCGGGCATTCATTAGGGCGTGGGCCCCAGCCGCCCCAGCGCCCACTGCCCCGCCCCCTTTGCCCAGCTGCTTGGGTATGACCTTGGCGTTGAGTAGCCTGGCATCGTGCTGGGCATGCGACATCCTCCGGCCGAGTGGCAGGCTGAACTCGGAGTCGCGCGAGGGCAAAGGTCGTCGGGTGGCGGCGACTGGCGGGGCAGCCGTGGCTAATGCATTCGCCGTCGTCGTTGTGGGCCCATCCTCGTGTATCATCTTGATGGAGGGTGCACAGTCGCCTTGCAGACTCAAGGTTGTGGCGGTAGCAGCTCCTCCTCCACCACCCCCTCCGCCATTTGCCGCATTACTCGATGCTCCATCGGATGGCAGGCGGATGAGTATCGTGTACACCGAATCCTGGCTCACCGACCGTGAGTTAATGCGATTGATCACGGGCAGTGTACGTGAGTCGCGATGCGCTGCATTTCCGGCTGTTCCAATTCCGATTCCACTTCCGTTTCCGCCTCCGCCTCCATTTCCATTCACATTCACCGTACCATTCCCATTATGGTTGCTGTTGTTGTTGTTGTTGATGGCGCCATTGCCATTGCCACTGGGATTCACATTCGCATTGGGATTCGCATTCGCATTCACCATCGCCATCGCATTCACATTCCCAGTGACCGCACTCATTTCCTGCAGCTGCGAAATGGAGGCGAGCGGTGGGCGTGGCAGCGGCGTGGGCGAGACATCCGACAAGAGAATACTGGGCGGACGGACGCCGCTCACACTGCCGCCCATCGAATAGTTGTCCCGCATCACGTTCATCGAGGTGCATCTGTGCGAGAAATGGGGGCGAAAAGAGATGGAGAGAAAGGATGTGGATGTTGGTAACGCATTTTCAAACACATCACAGAGTGGACCACCACTCCAAATGACACTGACAGGCAAGAACAACAACAACTTGGGGGCAAACTCAGGATGCAACTGCTCGTCTAAATGTGGCACACACACACAGATACACAAAAAAATACGTTCATGTGGTCAAGTGCGTTTTGGAATGGAAACAAGTGGCCGGAAATCGCAACTTAAATCGATTACCCAGTCCAATGCCAGTGGCACACATAAATTGAAACAAGTCCAGCGATCTAAAACACTGCCAACCCCAAATTGCACATATATCATCTAAAACTGCTTTTTTTGGCATTCAATTATAATTAGCAAGAATATTGTGGAATTTCGCCATACTTTGTGGGCTGACTTAAATGGTGACACATTGCAGATTCATCGGGAAAGCTCATTTTCGGTAATTCATTTTGCATTTTGGCAATTGCAGATTGCAGCTCAAATTACATTTGAGCTAAAATATTCAACTGTTTATTCTTCCTAATTATTCCCCAGTGATGCGAACAAATTTCCATGCAATTTTGTGGCATTGGGTTTTATGTGCAAACATCTAAACATAATTTCTATGGCTCTGCTAATTGCACTGAATTTTCAGACTGTTAAACAGATTTTAAAGGAAAAAAGTGAATTGTAGTGAATTACATTTAATTTGAACCAGCGAACTGCGCTGTTTGGAAAATATTTAAGGTAAAACGTCTCCTTAATGATATTCAAAGTGGGTGATTTTATAGAATACGTTTTTAGAAATGGAAATACATTATTAACTCAAAAGTTTCAAACCACTTTTATTCTGGTTATTAGCGAAATCTATAGAAATTATCAATTGATAGATAGATTTCTTAATATAAAAAAGGTTTTGTTGACACGATTTTGTAGCTTTCTTCTTGTGAATCAGAAATGTTTTTAAAAATTGATAAATATTTTTATGGCCTCCTTGCTGTTGATTTCAAAGACATTTTTGTGACTTCGGAATTTTATTTTTTAATGTGCTTTCAATCTTAAATCTCTATTTCTATTGCTTTGAAAAAAAAAAAACAAAACAGGACTAACACAGTTTCTGCATTTGTTGGTTTCTCCCTGTGGACTTTTAACACAATTTGTTGAATTTGACATTCAGAAATGGCTCTTAGCCGACATGGGAGACTTGCAAGCTAAGCTGAAACTATCACTTCTTGAAATCCAATTTCATGAATTAATTACAGCCAACGGAATCAACAAACTCGGGAGCACAATGGCCAGCTCCTTTGGACTGTAGCCTCAATTAGTTTCCATCCCGATGTGTGCAGTGGTGCAAAGCCTTCCATCTACGTGGATTATTTTAGTGCTGGATGCTGCGACTTTGATGGATTTGTGTGTGTGAAGTGTTGGGGATTGGGATTGGGGATTGGGATGGGTGTGGTGCATCGTGATGGCCGGTGAGGGATTGCGAACTCTCTCACATCCTCGTGTTGGACACTTTTTACCACTGACACTTTTCGTTTGTGTGCACAGGCATTGGACGGGAAATCGAAGTGAAAAACATACGAGTATATACATATATTTGGGTGCGAGTTGTTTGTTTGCTTTTCGGAAAAGTGCTCTGGGTGCAATTGATGCTAGTCATACGAAATACTGGGGTGAGAGAGTTTGGTGCGGTGTCGGCTTACTCGAAATATAGACGATTAAAGTTCAGAATTTTGATTGTTTTTACTACCTGGAGACGGAGCTTTGTAAAGGAGTTTCAATTGTTACTGGTGTTGCATACCCTAAATCAGAAGGCTCCTCCTGTTCGTAGGCGAAATCGTCGGAGTCCTCGCGACCGGAGTGCCACCACGCGATGCACCACTCCTTAACGCTGCCGAAGCAGGTGTACGATTTTTTGATTGTATTCGTGCTTTTGATCTGCAAATGGATGTGATTAGTAATCGGTAAAGGATAGACTTTGGGTTAGGGGATCCTACGCTTGACTTGCGCGAGTGCATCCCATGGTATCCGGAGTCGATGACCATGTTGGTCATGTAGACACTCTCCGCATCCGCCGAACTCTCGGAGCGCGGTCTTCGCCAGGTGTCGTGATCGTTGCCGCCCATTTGGCCGAAGGCCAGCAGACCGCCGGACGCATGGTTCACCACCGTGTTCTCGTCACTGAAAAATTAAAAAAATTTAATTGCTTAAAAATGTATTGGATATAAGTTATTTTTGCTCCTTTTTTTTCTTAAAAAAAACTATGAAATTCAGGCCAATAATCTCTGAGATATGAAATGGAAGTCTTTGAAAAAAACGATTTCCCATTTAGAAGACTTCGGCACAATATACTTTTGCAGAGAATATTATAATTTTGGTCAGAAGTTTTTAACCCAGATATTTCCCACTAATTTTACCATAAATTATAAAAAACGCAAAAATCGATCGAAATTTCTTTCCAAATAAACTCTGAAAATAAAAAAGTCATTGTTTTGGCTTTGCGTAGATTTTTTTGGGTCAAAAAATGGATTTTAGTATTGGTAATTGATTTGGTTTAAAAACCACCAAACGTTTGATTCCCTTTTATCTTAATCTTTTTAATAGAATTAAATAAAGTTCATAAATAATATGATTTAATTTAATGTTCACTTTAAGTGTTATTGGTTGCAAATGTTTATATAAAGTTTTTGTTATGATCAATACTATTCTACTTAATTGGTGCCCAAAACCTGGAGGGTAACTCACCTGCTGTTCGACCGTTTGCTGGAGTCCTTCTTGCCCGCCTGCAGGTTGGGCAGGTCCTTCTGCCGCTTCTTCGTCTCGCGCCAGATGCGCCAGTAGAGAAAGCACATGATGGTGACCGGGAAGTAGAACGCAGCCAGTGCAGTGCCGAAGGTGATGTACTGGTTGGTCTCGATGAACTGAATGTAGCACTCGTCCTTGGGCACTGTCCGCTTGCCCTCGATATACGGCCAGCTGTAGATCCACGGTGGCCAGAGGAGCAAACTAATGCCCCAGGCGGCACCGATCATCACAGCCGCCCGATTTGTTGTGCGTTTGGCGCGATATGTCAGCGGTCGTGTGACACTGAAGTACCGATCGAAACTGATGATCAGCAGGTTCAGCACGGAGGCATTGGAGGCCAGGTAGTCCAGGGCCAGCCAGGTGTCGCACACGATGGGACCCAGTGGCCAGTAGCCCAGGATCGTGGTCACCGCAAACAGCGGCATCGATATCGCCCCAATGGCAAAGTCCGCGATGGCCAGCGAGAACAGGAAGTAGTTGCTGATCGTCTGCAGCTGCTTGTCGATCTTGAAGGATATCATCACCATGACATTGCCGGCCACCGTCACCGTGCTCAGAATCGCCGCCACAAAGCCCATCACCACCATGGAGGCCAGTGAGTACCGGGGACCCTTCGTCTCGAAGCCCATGGTGCCGTTGGTCTGGTTGCCATACATCCCCGAATAGGGATCGTACAGACCACTGGCCGCCGTCGACGTGAGGTTCTCGAGTATCGCGGTGAGCAGGGTGGTGCCCGTTCCCGGATATCCCGGCGCATAGCCAACTGGACTGCTCGTCGTCGTCGTCGTGCTGGTCGTCGTGGTCGTGGTGGTCGTTGGACTTGGCTTATACAGTGGCTCCAATATGATGGGCGGGCCGTGGGCGGCCAATGCCAAACTCATCACCGGCTCCATGGCGGATACGTGATTTTATCTGCTTTGCAGCTGCAAGGCTTGCGATGCTCTATCGCTGTCGCTCTGTATCTTTCGCTCTCTCTCTCTCTCTCTCTCTCTCGCACTTTCTCTCTCTATCACGCTGGTCGTTTAGTTTGCCCTCATCCGCTGCTTATCCTTTTGGCTGCACCCACGCAAGGCGTTGGCCATTTTTCCACTGGCCCTGCAAGCAATAAAAAAAGAGGATGTTAGCTGGGATTACAGAACGGTCCGACCGGAAAGCACCCTGAAATAATTACGGTGATGGTTCCAGACACTTGTCCACGGAACGGTTATGAAAATGGAATTTTCCACTTCCTAGACGAAACAGTTTGGCTTAAATAAAGAGCCTGATAACACTGCCAACTGCAAAACTTTAATGAACTTATCCCTTTCCTAACATTTGTAGTTAATTAGGGTAAGTATAAGGAACCCTAAATTTATGTTTAAATATTACATATTTTTCTCAACACTGCCATTCAGAAAATTAACCATTTCTTAATTTTTCTTTAAAAGTACATAAAAATAACGTTAATAATAAACTTTTGCAACCATCTTAGAATGGAGTAAAATAAAAAACTGTAAATTTCTCCTTTACTGTCTTATAGTGAAGTGTTCAAAGATCTCGTAACTTGACGAATTTACAGCCTTCTGAATGACAGTAATAAACTGCAAATACATTCTCAAAGACAAGCTGTAAAGTGGCGCCGAAGAAAATTATTAAATTAACTACGTAGATGTGGAAATGTCAGGCGAAGTCGGCAAGCCAAAGGAATATCTTGCGGTGAAAATAATTAACTAGATGAAGATTACTCGAGAGGCATCCGGATGCAGCGATAATTATGATAAGCAAACTTGGGCGGTTAAGGACCGAAATAAACTTGAGCTTAGTGTCTAAAATCAACTTAAGACCCTCGAGCAACCAACGTAATTGCATGTGGTTGGGAAATGCAGCAATCACGAGTCGGTTGCATATAGTTACACGATTTCCACGAATGCCCCACCCAGCGGATAAGAGCCCTAAAAAAAGAATGACGAGATTTATGAGAAACTGTCCCCGGCACTGGCCTTTGATATATATCTCATCTGCCTTTGCGGCCGAGGGCTTGGCAGGGAATCGTGGGAAAGGAAGCGAAATAATATATTTACAATGCCAGGGGCCTGACTTGCTTTGTCCTTTCTGCAAAATGACATTTTCTGTGTGATTTGTTTTAATGGAAATGAAAACGTGGATGTAGATGTAAATGTAAATGTAAATGAAAATGAAAACGGCTTGAATGCGTTTCCTTGGCAGGCCTCAGCCCAGTCACACCCACAACATTTGTTGTTCGTTTATTACTGTTGCCAACAATGGCAGTGGCAAAAACGACAAAAGCGACAAAAACGGCACAAAATAACAACAGCGCGTGCAACAGTCGAGGAAGAACTTGGCTCGAACAAGGAGCATCGAGCTGAGAGCTCCGACACTTTGGCACGGAAATGTTCCAGGCGGCTTCCTCTGACACTTTTCAAAAACTATTGATGTTGTCATTGGCCATATGCCTATACATATCTGGAAATGAGGGGGCTTGTTCATTTGGCAGCCATTGTGCCCGGCGACTTTGATTTGGAAAGTTTTTCACACGTAATGAAAAGTCACGTTACGCATACGCCATGGCTGCCACCTGATTGATAGGCTATGATACGATACGTGGTGAAATGAAGGGCCACAATGAGATGTCCGTGATTGATTCGCATTCAATAGATGCGAAGTTATTGTTCGCACTGCTATTGTCGTTGGTCAGGGCTTTTTCATACAAATCAGGCCACAAAGGGGTCCGAAAACTAATTTACGTATACGTAATATTTTGCAGGAAAAGCAATTTAATGTTTGATTTCATTCAATTGCTGCAATACGTTTATTTGGCTTTGGTCTGCAATTAAATGCATTCAATTCAAGAGAAACAAACATCCTAATCCTATTTTATGACATTGTTTTACTATTTGACCAGTGCAATTTGAGTTGTTCTAAGCCAGCAATTAAATGAATTCTCAGTATCGTAAACGAAAACATGACCTACCTGTTAGTTAAGCCGATTAAATTTTGATTTACCAGTGTTAGAGGTGTTAGACCTCAATTACGATTGTACAAAATGAGTCATCCTTGCAAAAAAAAACATTGCCTACTTTTAGGTTGCATGATTACACGCCGATAAATGTTCTGCTTAATGCAAATTGCTTCAATTAATAAACCAATTGAAATATCACATTTGCATACTCGAAATTGGCATAACTGAATTGTGCACATTGATGGTTCAATTGACCTTTTGTCGAGCTCAATCAATGTATAATTTCCATGGGCTTTGCATTGCTCTTGTTTTAAGCTATTTATGGCAACTCCAATGGATGCCCAATTAAATGCAGCGTTAACCAATAAATCAATCAAAATCCGTCTGTTTATCTCATTGAAAACACGCACACACGTATAAATCAATTGCAAAACAAGCCAGCAAACTGGTGGAGATGGAGATGGGCAAAACCAATGGGGCGCCATAAATTGAGCCGACGTATCGTATTGACAACAACAACATTCTCAGCAACAAATGGAGAGGGCAAAACATTTCCAATAAATGAAAAAAACAAATCGCAGGAGTCGAGTGGCTGAGTCGATACTACTTGGCCATCCTTATAGTGAGAGGTTTGTTTTTTACTTTTATTTTGCTCAAGACCAAAGTAGTTGCATCGTTATTTCTCGGCTACGTGATTTTGACTTAGCCACGTCAGCTTATGGGTTATTTTTTTGGGGCGTAGCTAGTTATTGGTAATCAGTTCCCCGATTTCCCCTCCCCGCTGCTAGCTGTCCGCTTTTTGTTACATTCAAATTTATCAGGCGACCGCTCCTTTGGCAAGTAATCGAATTGAGCTTCTTGTTGCCGTGCCTCGCTTTTTGGCTGCCATAAAAAAAGGATTTATGGATTTATTATCAAATGCGTCGGGCGCAGAAACACAAGTAACCATATAACATACGCACACGGACAAGGCAGCCTCAAAAACAGTAACACACACTGATGCGTGAGCAACCTGCGACCCGCGAGGATTTGTTTTGCCATTTATTAGGCTATTTTTATGACACAGCCACGAGCTGGTGGAACGATGAAGTAAACACAGTGAGCAACCACTAATCAAATCAAGGGGGCTTACATTTTTAAACCATGGCACCAATGCACTGGCACTGTAAATCTTGCTTTTAATTAGATGCACATTTGCTAATTGTAAATCTCCCTCTTAACACACTTAAATAAATAATAATGCCAGTAAATTGTTTGGCCAGTGGATGATAGTAAATTTTCATTCTATCAGTGGCTTATTGGCGGTCAGGTGACACAGTTCTTAAAAGCTCTTGGCAACCGCTGATTTAATGAAAACTGAAATCTTGATTAATGACTTTCATTTGCTAATTAGCACGTGCCAAAGTAAGTTAATGTTTGGCAGGAGCAATGGAAAATATATGTAAATTCTTGAATGTTTATGAATATATTAATAAACTTTCAATTAACGAGCATAAAACAAAATGTTCCAAGCAAAAGAGTATTAAAAGCGTTCTTAAAAATTTTAAATCTTCAAAAACTTGATTTACGAAGAAAATCTTTAACTGTAAGGACATAAATTAAAATCAATTTGAGTTTAAAATTTAAGAGAGATTTTGAACGTTTCTTGGAATGTGTTTATTTTTTACTGTACACTTTACATATCTGTGCTTTTAGCCAAATTTCACTGTCTGCGAAAGTGTGTATTTTTGATCAGCTCATCAACAGTCGGCTTTATTTTGCATTGGTTATTCTCGTTCTCGTTCTGCTTCGCTTCTTTTTATGCGGGCTCTGTCAACGTTCAAACACACACACACACACACGCTCGCGCCTATTTACACACACCCACTCGCCCACACCAACACACTCACACACGCGTACTTTGGGAAAAGTAAAAGGAACGGAAAGAAAGGCCAGGCCAACTAGCTTGCATACTTTCGAGCGCCCTGTCTTTCACTTGGGCTCTTTTCTCCTTTCTGCTGGCTTATGTTAATTTTTGCGCGAGTTTAATTGCTTGCCACATGGCTGCTGATGCCAAGCGGATGCCGTTAGCTGCTAGCTGCTTTCTGTTGCCTGTTTTCTGCTGCCTGCTTTTCTTTGGGCCGAGCTGCTTTGCCTGGCTTGTTTGCGGAAATTAAATTGCTGGACTGGCTTTCACCTTATGCTCGGGCTGTCCGCTAAGCATATTGCCATGCGAAATGTGCCCACACAGAGAGAAAAGATACTTAAATTCGTTTTTCTATGCCCTTGTGTGGTTTTTCTTTTGAAACAATCTTTTCAAAACTGTCTTTACAATATTTGTTGATTTCAGATTAAAATTATTACTATTAAAATTATACTATAAGTTCAAATAACTAAATTATGTTTTATTAAATTCTGATCTGATACAATTTTAATTACATAAAAACCTCATTATGAGCTGCTTAACAATATCAATACAACTATTATTCAAATCCATTATTCTTAAAAGAAGTTTCTTCATCATTTCATATAAAAAATGCACATAACAAAGGAAAAAAAAGGAAAATATTTGTGTAGTAATGTTAAAAATTTTAAAGTTTTTGCCATGAACATCAAACTATTGTATAAATGTTTTCAAATAAATATTAAGTCGATTATATAAATATGCCATAACGGAGCATAAGAATGCATTGACCTACGAAACATATTGCTTTTCAACCTTCATGTCAACAATTTTAAAATGTTTAAAAAGGACTTTTACAAACAAATTTTGCTAGGAAAATGAATTATATTCGACACTTATGTATGAACTATTTCCTAAGAATTGTTAGGATGAGCATTAAAACATATCCTTTTAAATTTTTTACTGCTAAACTATTTTATGTACGTCAAATAACTTTTTTATGACGGTGTTTAGATTTTTTTGTGTTTTCATTAGTTAAACACAGCATTTCAACCTATCCTTGGTGATTTTTAAAATGCTAAAAACATGCGCATCTTTTAAAAGGACTTTTAGCAACTGTTTTTGCCACGAAAAGTGACTATTTTATGGCGCTTTTTAGTGCCTTTTTTCGCTGTGCAGACTTGGGTGAGGTTGTGCGAACTGGTGGCCTGCTGGTCGAGGGGGTGGTGGTGCGGGCGGGCGGCAGGGGCGTTGAGCCGCGCCCCACCGACCTACTCGCACAAAGTTTAATCAAAACGAGAGCACTGGAAACGGAGAAAGCAGCGCTGCCGACGTCGACAGCGCAGCCAACGCACACACATACATACACATACACGGACACTTACTTACTTGCGCTCTCTCTTTCTTTCTCTCTCTTGCTTTCGCCGCTTTCTCCTGGCTCTCTGGTGCCCTCTTGCTCTAACCTATTGCTTATTTGTGAATGTTCCGTTGTAACGGTGACATCGCTGTTGTTGTTGATGCTGTTGTTGCTTTTGACTTTGTTTTTGTTTTTGTATTTAGTGATGCTGCCGCAGTCGCTGCCTCTGCCGGCGTCGCTGCGTTGGTGTTGCTGTTGCTTTTGCTGTTTCTGTTGATTTTGGCCATTTGCCGCTCCCAAAAGTATGCTTTGTAATTTTTTGTATTGTGCGCGCACATCTTCGGCTTTCTGCTTTCTAGTCCTGCTGCTGCTCCTGCCGCTCCCCGCTCCTTCTCCTCCTCCTCCTTCGCTCCTTTCGATCCACTGCCTGCTCAATTCATTTCGCCTTTCGCCAATTTTATTATACACAATGCGAACTGCGACGCCGACGTCGCTGCCGCTGCCTCTGCCTCAGTCGGCGTCTACGTTGCTGCGACAACGCTTTGCGTGCCCAAAGTTTCCACATTTAACATTGTAATCGGGTTTATTTTATATTCGCTATATAGAGACACGACACACACGACTCTTAATTATTAAGCTATTATTTATGTATTTAATTATTGCTTGTTGTTAAAAATTCCCTTGACTTCGGAGATAGCGATAAAATAAGTTGGGAGCTTTTTGCACGCGTTTTGTTTTTCACTCGGCTTGTGGCTCTAAATTTTTTTTCAGCGGAAATAGAGAGAGGCTGTAGCGCACGTTGCTAAATCTCATCCGGGACTGAAGCTGAAAATTTTAGCCAAGGTATATAACGGTACAGAGCCGAAGAGAGAGAGCCAGAGCCGAACAGCAGCCGAGCGAAAGAGGGACAGAGGGAGAGGAAGAGGGATAGGGAGAGCAAAAGAGAACGCGACTTCTTTATGCTGGAATTTGTGTTTGTTGGGCAACATGGCGAGCATCCTTTTACGAACACCCTCGCACAAAGGACATACGGAAAAATGGAATGCGCCAGTGTGTGTGTGTGCAGCCGAAAATGTGCTGCCAGCGGAACTTAATGGATGAATATGAATGAAAACGCCGCAACAGTCCAACTGAAAGGGGAGTGGGTAGGGGCGGAAAGGGATTGGTAGGGGCATTAGGAGGCAAGGGGAATTCCAGGTGGCGAAGACAAGTCCGCACGAGGCCCACGGGCATTGCTCGAGTGCCATCTTTTGTAGCAGCAACATCTACGACTGCCACATCTGCAACAGCAACACCAACAACAGCAGCAACAGCAGCAACATCAAGTGTAGCAGCAACACCAACAACACTGGCAACTTTTCAATGGGACTCCTGGCGAATGAGTGTAGCGCGTTAGTGTGAGTGGCGCTGCGAGGGTGTTCGTGTGAAGTGGAAACGCTGGAAAAGCGCATTCTCACATTTCAATTAAATAATACCACCAGCGTACGGTCACAATTGCCAGTTCAATGGGCATTCTGGGCCAGCGCAACATTTGTAAGGAAAGTAACCACTTAAGTAAGGTTTGAATCAAATGTAATTATTAGGGTCTTTTGTATTCAAAGCATAGCAAGGTGAGGTAATTACTTCTAGGGAGCTCAATAGCCCTGATAAAGTAAAAAGTTAAAAACTTATAAGAAACAAAAATTAAAAAAATTAAATAACAAGAAATTAAGAAAAAAATAACATTATATGAATATGCACATTTAAAGCGGTATACAAAACCAAGAAATTAATCGCTTAAGTTAGGATTTTACCTACAGTCTAACTTCTATAATCACCAAAAAACATGGACTATGTGCTCGGTTATTTTTTTGCCTTTATTTATACTTTCTCTTTCCAATAAAAATAGGCCGACTCTATAAGAACTTCTGTTCAGGGCAAAGTATCAAGATAAATATTACCATCAGGGAGTTTATCAGCCGTGATAAAGTGATTAACAAGAAAATGATTACACACATAAATATGTCAATAGCTCCAATAGACTTGTTGAGAGTCATATTACTATTTAAATAATCAAATAAAATAATATCACCTGATAGGGCACAATTAGGTTGAAGTGGCATTCTGAACCAGCACTACATTTGGAAAACCAGATAAACCGTGATAACATTGTTTTTGTTTTGTGAGACAGAAACATGCCATTTTTTTATTTTATTAGCCTTAAGTTTTAGTTTTATTCAATTACTTCCTCGTCTTTGAAATAAATAATTACAAAGGTAATCCTTAAAGATTTATTTATATATCAGATCCCATAATTTAATTTAATAATTTAGAAAAATTAAAATTAAAACTCTGTTTTGAGTTTCGGGGAAATAAAAATGATTACCCAGCCAAAATGTAATTACGTTAGAGTATTTTAACTTCGAACCCTTTGTCAATTACGAGCGAGTCCCTCAAGTGCCTTGGCTTTATTAATAGCAACTCATGTTGCGTTTAAACTGGACAACAATGGATCTAACGCGCCTGACATGGCACTGGCAATGGCAGTGGCAGTGGCAGTGGCCCCAGTGAACCCACACCCTGCCACTGCCATTTCACCAGCAACCTACATCACCCATCCAAATCCTGGCAACCAACAAGCCCGCACTTTCCCCTTGGGCTTGGCATGTGTTAAGGTCTGCGGATACTTTCTGTATGCTCGTCATACCATATATGATATAAAAATACATAAATGGACAATGCAAAAGGAAAGATGAGTAAGAGCTCTGTGCCACTGGGCGGACGGGGATGAGGACGAGGGGATGGCCAGCTCGGATTAGGGCCAGAATTGATTGTGAGTGGGCTGTGGGTGTGGTCCTGAGCTAACATAGTTCCAAGAACTGCTGCAATAAATGGCCAGAAATCGAGTGCTGCAGGAAGGTCGGGTTTATCAATGGCCAATGCATCCATATGCTGGAATTTGGTGGCGACACTCTCGCTCGAGGAAGCCGGAAAATTCTTTAAAGTGCCCCCACGTTGTCCATACGCACCGTTGACCATGTAATCGAAAGGCACAGCATGCCATCGCTCAACTAGAGAGATGCCAAGCCCAGTGGACAGATATTGTTGGAATGCCGGCGAGAGTTCAGCAATTTTTGGTACTGACATATTTTCCGACATTCGAGCGCACAATTTCCCTTTAGCTTTCAGTCAAGCTGAGTTACTGCAGTTAAGTTGCTGAAGTTTCGACGGCAAAGTTTTCCATTTAATCATAGCAAATTAAATTGATGTGAGGGCATAAAGAGCTATGGAAAAAGAAACTTGCTAAGAACAAAGTCTTGGTTAATTAGCATGAAAACAATAGGCTTAAATACCGTTCCATCCAATGAAAAGATCAATTCTTTGTAATTTTTCTATTCTTTTTTAATATTTTTTTTGTTGAATATTGTTTTTGTTTATTTTTAAATACATATATATATATTTATATAAAATATATAAGCATAAACGTTTACAAATATAAATATCTTTTATCGTTACCCGACGGCCTTTCATTATCCATCTGCATATCTACGTCCGTCTGCAACTCGAAGCTCGAGTGCTCACACAATTTGTTTTATGGAATCCCAACATCTCACATATTTCTCCTGTTGCCACATATTAACTTTTGCTAAACTTTTCCGTAGATGTGTCTCTGTCTCTAAGTGTGTGTGTTAAGTTGGATAGTTAAGATACAAATATTTATAGATATATTTACAATAGCGATAAGGTCAACAAAAAATATTTGTTTGGTTTACGTATGTTTGTCCTTTTGTTTGCGGGAGTGTGTGTGTGTGTGGTGTGTTAAACATAGATAAATATTAAGTAGATTTAATTCTGCTCTTGACGGTCGTGCACATATAACATATATGTATATACATGTGGACATGTATAAATCGTAGATATGGTATTTCAACGCATTGGATTTTTCGACAGATCGATAGACATGTACAATAATAATAATAATAATAGAACAATAGGCTAACATACTCTGCAAGATAATAAAATTAAACTTATGCAATACGTTTTTACGACACAAAAAAACTTAAGCTTGACCCGACGCGCTGCTTGGCACGACTCACATACATACATGTCCATCTAAAAAATATATACCCTCTCTCTATATATATATATATAAGCAAAGGCAGAGGCGCTCAATCTCTGGCGGAAGCCTTAATGGATGGCTGACAATTGTTTTGTTACGTTCTGCATAGCTGTCATAGCTGCTGCCGCTGCAGTTCCTTTGTTTGCCGGTTCGACAGGCTGGCTTCCCGTCCCCGGGCATTAGGTTTCTGGCCCTCAGCCCTCGGAATACGAACTGAGGCTGCTGCGCGTCGAGCCGGTGAAGTGATCTCGCTGCAGCGTGTCCGAGGGCATGGACACAATCAGGGCGCCACCATACAGGGTCTCCATTTCGTCCAGTTGCTGGGCAAAGGTCTCCTCCAGGCGCTGGTTCAAAATATCGGTTTTTCATTAGTAATACATGGGATAACAATATACTTTACTAGGCAACAACATTCGTTCTCACAATATCAAGTTAGAGAGATATATTAAAGGGATTGGAGGAAAGTTTAGCTATATAGCGCATGCATTAGTAGGACATTTAGAGCTGAAGAACTATACATAGAATACACAGTGCCTTCCGAAACCATCAGATATGCGAGCTCTGTTTGCAAAGCCTTGACCCATATCGTATAGTTGGGGAGCACACTGGGGATAGATCAAAGGACTAACCTCTTGTTGCAGCCGCTGCTGTAGTTGCTTTACACATTACGAGAAGAGGAGAGCCGGCAAGAAAAGTTTTTGGATACAGATTTTTTGATTTGGTTTGGTTTTGGTTTGGTTTTTGTTTTGGTTTTCGATAGCAGCGCGTTGTTGTTTGCATGTGGGTGTTTATATGTAAGAGTGGGTGTGTACAGTGAAGCATCATGAAATTTGCAATATGATAATATTTATTTGTATGTTTATAGTTATAAGAATGTTTAGAGTAAGATATGGCTACACAAATGCTTGGCATGTTGCTAAGTGGAATGTTGATTGTATTCTTTATTATTCTCTTTTCGTTTCATTTTCGTTTACTAAGTACTTCGATAATACTGCTTAAATGGAATGCGATTGGAGGCGGATGGCTGGTCCAAGTCAAGAAAATACTTTAACATTAAAAATAGGCAAACAAGTAATCTGTTTCTTCGTTCAATAAAATAGCAATTCCAACAAACATAATCAACTTTTGGCAAGACAGAATGTATGGCAATTTCCGTTGCAGAGCGTTAATAGGTGAGAAAAGCTATACATATTCGGTTAGCAAGATGAAGTGTTTTCGGGGAGTACGGGGACTACGAGGGATGTACATTTAGCCAGCACCAAGCGAGGAATGAAAAGCAGGTTGGTTCGGTGTCAGTAGGTGTGAGTACAGGTTGATTGACTGGTTAGTATTTAGTAGCTGCGGTGCAATTAGGAAACTGGCTGCTGGAACGTGGCAAGTGCTGATCGCGATGATCCTTCTCCGTCTTTGTCTCCTAGATGGCCGATGAATCCTCCTCGAGGCTGTGCTGACGCTGGTTGACCCTCGGCAACCTGTACTTGGCCGCATACAGATCGTAGTAGAAATCATCCGAGGAGGCGGCCGAATCCGCCGATGCCACGCTTCCATTGAGGCGACTGTGTCCCGGCTTGACGGAGGACCTCAGCTGCGGCTGTACTTCATCCAGAAGGGCAGCTGCTTTGCGTCCGGAGTCGAAAATCAAGTCTGCATCGCTTGTGAACCGCGTAGTCAGCTCGTTTATGTTGTACATCGACTGGGCACTGCTCAGCGAGGATCTGCCGCTGCTCCGACTTGCCAGCGAAGGTCGCTTGATGGCAAACGAGGTGGTGTGCAGCAGGCGCTGAGTGTGGGCCGTCAACACTGGTCCCTCGTGAATGCGCAGCTCCACGCCGCTGGCCTCCGCCGCTGCCGTGGTATCCAGGCGGCTGAATCGGTTGCTCACCAGGCCCAGGTCATCTGGTGTTTTTGGTGACGAGCTGCTCCGGAACGTGCTCATGGCTGGCTTGCCATTTGTATCCTCCGCGCTGTTGATTGGCGGAGTGGTGGTCACCACCTTGACCAGCTCATTGGCTGGGAGTTGTGTGATTAGGCGCAGCTGATTCTGAGCGGGCAGCGTGGTCACGCTGGCCCGCTTCATCTGTTCGCTCAGCATCTGCTCCTCGTCTTCCTCTAGCACCAAATCGCTGATCATCTGCGATCGCTGTTGCTTGTGTAGGATCGGAGTACTGGGCACACTGCGGCTAAGATCTGGAGCTGATCCGCGGAAGTTGGACAAACGGCTGCCAGCGCCGCCCATCATCATGAGCGAGGAGCGGGAGCGTGGTATATGCTGTGGATCAATGAAAGTGTAGCGGGGCAGGCGCGAGGTTTTATCGTTGTAGATGTTGCGCAGGTGCTCAGGCAGCACTACTTTTTGATCCTCGAACTCCTGCCGATTGATCACCAGGCCGAAACGATTCTCATGCTCATCGATGGCCAACTTGATCCGTTTGATCAGTTCCTACGCTCGATTCGATTTGGTTGTTAAACACATGCATCACCAAATCCGTTGATCGGTTGGTTGGTTTTTTTTTTGTTAGTAGTTGGGAAGCACAGCGTTAAGCATTTTTATATATTTGGTTTAATTTTTTATCAGTTATCGGTTTGGTTTTTTTTTTTTTTTTTTTGGTTTAGTTTTGTAGGTAGTAGTAGGTACAGTAGGCCACCAAAGTGAATGCATTTGCGTGGGTGTAAAGAGAGAGAAAAAGTTGAAAAAATAATTGGATTAAGTTCAGCCTTGGTTCAGCCAAGTAGCAGCGGTTTAAAGATGAGCTAGGGGTTCGTCAGTCATTGTACCAGTTCTCGTATCAGTAGCAAAGATTACAGTATCGCCTCACAATTAAAAAAAAAAAAGTAGCTAATGATGATTCAGTGACAAACGAATGAGTCAGATACTTATTGATTGAATGACAAATCAGTTGAGTTAAGACAATTGAATTTCCAAATGTTTTATAACCATAGGTAGTCTATCACGGATATTGCTCATCTCTAAACCGCACAACTTTGACGGAACGGGTCGGGATGGGTTTCATTTTTAAGGGAAAGAGGGGAGCACAAGACACCACAGTTCACCGTAAACCAATCAATATACAATAAGTATAGTTACCAACTTAAATTAAACGAGTTGATCTACTTTGTACATTAAAAAAAAACACATAACACCAACGAAATAAGGCAGAGAGCATAGCTAAAAGAGCTCTTGGGCGGATCTCAAAAAGGGATTTGGCATACACACCTGTTTGCGGGGCACCAACTGATCGCGCCACTCGCGCAGCTCCCCCTTCAGTCGCTCATCGATCTCCGACAGCTTGGAGTGCTCATGCTCCACCAGAGCCCTGCGTTTCTCGTTCTGGAGTTGCTCTAGCTCTCTGTAAAAGTTATGCAAATAAGTACAGGCTGAGGTTATCTTTTAGGAAACCCACTTTATAGCGCTTTCGCGTGTGGCGCGCAGCTCTTCCAATTGCTTTTGATGCTTGACCTCAAACCGTTTCTCCTCCTGCGTATAGCGCTTCTTCTCCTGCTCCTGGAACTGCAATTAAAATCGAGTTTAATTCATTTATCTAATAATACATTAATTCATTCATTTATACCTTCTTCAAGCGATCGCGTTCGATATCCGGATCTATCGTGGATATACGTAGGGATTCACGGAACATTAGGTCTCGTGCCTTGCGCTCTGCACGGATTCGCTTGGGCAGCGCCCGCTTCTCCATTGTCTGCTTCTTGACCATGTCTTCCTCCTTGCGCTGCAGCATACGCTTCACCTGATCCAACTCCTTTTCGTGCCGAATGATCATTTGGTGGCGCTGCATAAAGCAGAGTTCCTTTACATGTCGCTTGGACAGCTGGTGGCGTTCATGAAGCTGCTTCTCCTCAAGTTCCCAGAGAAGTGCCTCCCGCGTTCTCATCGCATTCTGCTTCTGTTGCAGGAAGTTGCGGTTGATGGTGGCCAGGTGGTCACGATGCTTCTCGCTAAGTCGCCTTAATAGAAGCTCATGCCTCTCCTTCAGGGAATCCAGGAAGGCACGCTCCTTCTCCTCGTGATCGAGTTCCATGGCCGAGCGGCGCTGCTTGAACTCATCCTTGCGCTTGTCCTTGGGGAACAGGTCGACCTCCTGCTTGAGCAGACGGATCTCTTGCTTAAGGTTCTCGCGGAAGATCTTCAGCTCCTGCTCCTGATCGGCGCGAATGCGTTTGGACGTGGAGCGCAGCTCATTCTCCTGCCCCTGCTCTGTCTTTTCAACCTGCTGTTTGTGTTGACGCGCCAGCAAGTCCATGTCCGCCTCGTATGTTTTCTCCAGCGAGGATCGTTCCTGCTCAAAGCGGCGATCCTGCTGCTCCTTGCCCTGCTGCTCCTTCACGTACAGCTCGGTCTGCTGTTTCTTCTCCTGCTTTTGTAGCATCTTAAGTTCGCGCAGCTCCTGCTTGCGGAAGTCGTGGTCATCGTAGATTCGTCCGTTTTCATCGTCGCCGTAGATCACCCGACTCGTGGTGGTGGTCATCTGCACGCCATCGATCTCGAACTTGCGGGTTCGCTTTCGTGTCTTCTTGCGCAGATTGCGCAGCTCAATCTCCTCTTTGGTAAGGCCTTGAGCATTTACAGACTTGACCACGGGCGGTACCCTCGCTTTGGGCCGGATCACCACCTCCTCATCCTCGTTAATGGTCTCATGATTGTGGTTATTCGTCACCGACGGAGGTGGTGGAGGCATCAGTACTGCCGCTGGTGGCTGCAACTGTTGCTTGTTATTGTGATCCGTCTCGTTCCGGCTGTCTTGACTAGTGTTGGTGCCAATGCTGTCCACGTCGGATCCTCCGCTGCCGCCCACCAGCACCTCGATGCCCCGGCGTCCGCGCACCGAGCCATTCTCGCTCAGCGAGCTGTCCGGCGATCGCTTCTCGTGCTTGAATCGGTTCACAATGATGTTCACGTCCTCGGGCACAAGGCCAAGTCCGTTGGGCTGTCGCTTGCCCAGCTCATTGCTGCTGTCCTTCACCTTGACTCCCTCATCGCCCACGGTAACCACGGATACGTGGCTCGTGTCCATCAGATGGTCGCTGTGATCGTGACTGTGACTGCCAGATGCCGTGTTATAGGCGGAGTCATCATCCGCGTAGGAGGGGCTCACAATCAACACCTCGCTCTCGTCCAGCTTGCGTGCGTGGACAGTGGAAGAAATTTGCGGCTGCGGTGGAGGAGTAGGAACAACTCCTGCCGGCTCATTGACAGCCAATATCATGGAGGATTGCTTGTGGGGCGGTGTGCTGGCATCGCCCAAACTGTCGTCCAGCGAGGGAAAGTCGTCGTCCGTCGAGGACTCATGCAGGTGAGTGCTCTTGTTTAGATCGTTGGATACAATGATCACCTCGTTCTGCGGCGGCACCACCGAGTTGTCGATAATCACCGGCGGATGGGTGCTGGTCACCACTGTGATCTGACTCACAGATTCCAAACTGTTTGGCAGTACCAAATGCTGCGGTGGTGGTTGTAACTGTTGATGATGCTGCGGTGTGGGTGGATCGCTGTTGATGGTGATCAACGATGTACTCGAACTAAGGACAGCATTCGAGACACTGCCAGAGGATCTGGAAGAGGCCACCGATTGCACTGACACAATAGAAGAAGCTGTGGGTGAGGGCGGCTGCGGTTTCGGCTCAATTGCCTCCTGGCCAATGGCCACCTCAATGGCTGTGGTGACTGAGGAGGCGGGTTCGGGCGTGGCCAGCTTTTTGGGAGATGTCTGGGAATCGCTGGCAGGCGGCTTGGCATTTGTAAGGCCCAGGGGTGACGGTGGGGGCGGCGCTTTGCCCTTTTCCTTTTTGACAAAGTGCTAAAGAAAGCGGATAATTAAAATCGGTTTGTATGATTCAACTAGATGAGCAGTTCTTACCTTCTTGTCGGATTCGGTTTTTTCAGCTGTTTCATTTGCAGCTGCCACATCTTCGGGTTTCTTTTGCAGCACGGCCGCTGGGATTTGGGCTGGTGGTGTTGGTGGCTGCTGGACTTGCGGTGGTGGCGTTTGTTGAGACGACGGCGGCGCTGGAGCAGGCACTTTGGTATGCGGCGGCTGCTGGGCTGCCGCTTCAGCATTGTCATCCTTTGTGTGGTTTGGTCTGTCCGGAGTGGTTGCTTTAGTTGTGGTTGTAGCTGCTGCTGCAGTGGCCGCTGCTGCGATTGGTAAACTGCTACTTGGTTGGGACTGCTCTTTGGCATCCCGCAAAATGGATGTAGGTGTACCTGGAACTGCAGGGTATTTAAGGTATAAGCTGGAGGTCTAAAGGTGAATAATATAAAAAAGCTTCTTACGTTTGTCAATGTCTTGGCTCTGCAGCGAAGCAGAGTCATCGTCCAGGTCGAGCTGGAGCGCCGAGTTGCGGGGTTCCTGAGAAAGATTAAAAACAACTCATTAGCATTAAGATAATTATAGTATTTCCTAAATTATAGACTTTCAACTAGCAGAGCTACTTGACTTTTACAACTTCAGCAACTACAATCTTTTAACTATATTCGTCGTGCCGAATTTGCATAATATCTTAACATAAATTCTACAATTGAGTAATTGCTATTTTTAAACACAAAAACAACCCTAAAGGAATTTGTTTACATCCGACGAAGAGCATAATAACGCACTGTTTGCTAGTTCTATCTTTTATTGTACCATAAACAATATCTGAGTCTTGATGTAAGGAGCTTATAGATAGCGAAACGGACACGTCTGTCAGTTAAATGCTGGCCAGACTGATTAGTAATTTAAAACCGTTTGTGATTGAAAGTGTGCTTGCTATAATTACCGCAAGAAACCGATAGCATGGCAAGGGCTTACTGAGAAACCAAAGCACATAAACAAACACAACGAATGAAAAATGCCTTCGGCGAAGGAGCTAAGTGATAAGCAGCATTTGGCAATGCTGATAAAATAAGTAAACTAATTGTGCCCCCGCCTAGGGAGGCCAGTGCCTGGGATGCAGTGCCGGATGGGTGGGGTGTGGGTGCCGGGAACGGACGGAGCGCGGACGGGTTGCTGTAGAACGACTTACCAACCCTCTGATAGAGCGAGCGCCGCTTCACTTGGCGTTTAAGCTTCTATATCAATTATTTCCAAGTAACCACATACAAATGATAAGAATAAACATTGCGACATTTTGGCAGAGTGGAACAGAACAGAGAACGTAAAATAAACGCAAGGCAAAGAATAGTCGAGAATAAACCAAGATAAACGTATAAAAATAATGAATCGCGCGGTGCGATTTTGGTTGGGTTGAGGCGGCAGCGTGTAAGAGAGAAGAAAGAGCAGTTGGAGAGGTGAGAGAACATAGAGATTATCATCACATCTAGCATTTGGTCTACAAGGGTGCGGTGCAGGGCACAGGGATAAATGGATAAATAAAGCGCACTCACCTCGGTCTCATCGTCCACCACTTCCTCCACGACCTCGGCCTTGTATTCGAGCAGCAGATCTTTGATGGGCTTCGCGTCCAGATTTCTGTTGATAAAGCCATGCTGCATCAGGACATCCGTTGTGGGCCTCACTTGTGGATCCTAATGCGCAAAAAATAACATTCCAGTCAGATAAAGGAAAAAATTCCACACCCAAAAGAGTTACCCACCTTGACTAAGGACTTCTTAAGGAAGTCGTTGAACTCCTTGCTCCATCGGGAAGGCTGTTCCAGCTTGGGCGGTTCGCTCTTTTGAATCTTGAGCAGCACTCGCATGGGCGACATCTCGCTGTTGGGCGGCTCCATCTGGGCCAGTTCGATGAGAGTGATTCCCAGTGACCAGATGTCCACTTTGTGATCATACGGATTGTCCCGGAACGTTTCGCAGAGCACCAGCTCGGGGGCCATCCAGTAGGGAGTGCCAATAAAGGTGTCGTGCTTCTGCATGGTATGTTTGTTCTTGGCCGAGACGCCAAAGTCCGCTGAAATTTGATAATATGTATAAATTTATATTTGGACAGTGGTATCTTAAAAACCTACCCAATTTCACGCCGCCCTCCATGGTTAGCAGCACGTTTCCTGCCTTCAAATCGCGATGGATGACTTTGTTGCGGTGCAGGAAGGTAAGACCCTCCGTCATGTGCTTGCAGACGTAGGCAATTTGCGGCTCAGTCAGGGGCTTTTCCAGCTCCACCATAATGCTATCCAAGGCTCCGCCATCGCAGTACTCGATAAGCATCTGAATGAAGGAATTACCCAAAGATTACTCTGCTTTCCGGTTCCAAAAACCCTCTTAAGATACTCACCCAAAGCTTATCATCGAGGGAGAAGGCCTCGTACAGCTCCACCACATTGGGGTGCTTGATCTCCGAGAGAATATCAATCTCGACCATGTGGTCGCTGAGGTTCTCCTCGTCCTCCAGCTGGCACATTTTGGCAGCAGCGAAGCGTTTCTGCTCCTTGTGCTGGGCCTTGTAGACCTTCCCGAAGGCCCCGTCACCCAGTTCACCGACCATTTCCCAGAATTCCTCCGGATCCGTGTCCATCTTGATGTTGTTGTACAGGCGCTTCTTCTTGGCCTCACCCCCGCCGAGGTGGAAGACCTTCTTCAGGTTGGTGATAAAAGACATTTTCGCTCTTTTGTAGATTTCCCCTGCTGCTGCTGATGATGATGATGATGATTTGGGTTGAGTCTACATAGTGAGCTCCTGGGCGAGAGTCCAAGCAGGAAAACTAGATTTGGTGAAAGCTGCGGACATTGGCAAACGTTTATTGATTGGCTCGGCAGGTGTATGGCAAGGTATAGACTTGGCAGGCGTTCAAATCCGGTGGAACTACGGTTAAACCCATAGAACGTTGGAACCGCCGTAGAATTAGCCCAGTTTTTGTGGGTCTATGTCCATAACTCACCTTTTCAGACGTTCTTGGCACTCTCTCTTTAAGATTCCTTCGTTTTTTTAGCGAAATAGGCCAACGAGCGGGGATTGTGGGCTTGGTTTGGCCCGTCTTTAACGCTTCTGTATGTTTTATAATTTAATTAGCAGCTCGCGAGCTCTAATATTTGTAGAAAAAACACGTACGAATGGGAGGAAAATGATTACAAACGAGAAAAAGTCAAAGACGTAGACAAAAGAGCGCAGCGTGTGTGTGAGTGTGAGGGTATGCGTGGCTCTTCTAAGTGTTTGTGAGCTGGTCTCTGGGCTTTTAAGCCCCCCTCTCTCAACCGTACCACTTAATTTGGCCAAATCTCGGCGAAACTCGGGATTTTACAGAGACCAGTTGGCAAATAAGTTGTGGCGCCTTGAATTCGCACTATGCAGCCCGCAATTTGTAAACAACACGCGCACGAATCGCACTTTTAAGTGAACGCAACCTCTCATTGATGATTACGGAGCAAACGAAGTCGGCGAATGGGCGTGAAACTTGGGGACGCACGCAGTCACGAATTCGGAATTTGGGAATTACCTCATCCACATACACTCACTGATTCGCTTTTCGGCTTTATCAATCACTGCACTATCTCTGCTTTTTTTTTTATTGTTTTTAACTACACACCCTTTTGCGGAGGCGTTTAAAACGTATTTTCCCCATAAAAATGCTTAGAAATTTCTCTCGCGCAATGCTTGGTGCTGCCACTGCGTTTCAATTGCAACGTTGCCGGCGGTCCGGCAACGCCAGCAAAAAATGGCGTTTAGGTCATCTGTGCGAGAAGAGAGCAGCACTATTTGCCTTCGCCAAGGGCAAAAACAGAAACAACACTCACACACACACACACTCAGGAAGACGAAGGAGGAAAATAATTAATTTAATCGATTGGAAAATTACTTTGTGGAATTGCAGGCGAGCAGCAGGTGCAGACTCACTGACCGTTCTTTTTCGCACTTCCGCAGTCCGATTGCGCACTTTCTAACTGTTTGCACGGCGCTTTTCTTCTCATGATTTTCCCATAAGCACTGTGTGACCGTTTTTCACTAGCAAGAATATACTATAAAAGGAAGTAAATTGGTCTCCGGTAAGGCGAATTTTTGATACCCTTTCTGTTGTAACATAAACTGACTAGCCAATCAGTAATTATTTAAATTTCTTATTGCAGGTATCTATAGGATACATGTCTCTATTAAAACATTTCTTAAATAAATACAAATATATCTTGCCAAGAGCTCACATCGAAGTGTGACCAGCTATCGCCATGTCGCGTTCACAGCGTGGTATTACGGTTTATTAAAGAATAATATCGACGGCCACACTGCAAATCGTTTCTGCTTGTCATTTTGCTCTGAATTTTTTGCCGCAAATTGCAGGTAATTTCGCAAAATATAGGACTCACCGAAAGCCAAACCCCACAAAAAACAGAGCAGCCTGGCACCTAGCAAGCGGTGCAGAAGTAACATTAAACCTCGAACCGAAAACCCCAAAAAAGCACAAACATGCCGTCGCTGGAGGTGAGCGTAAACAAAGTGATAGTGCATCCACTGGTTCTGCTGTCCGTGGTGGATCACTTCAACCGGATGGGAAAGATCGGCAACCAGAAGCGCGTTGTGGGTGTCCTCTTGGGATGCTGGCGCTCCAAGGGAGTCCTCGATGTGTCCAACAGCTTTGCAGGTTAGTAGTGCACGTCAGTCATCCGAAAGCACAGCCCGAAAACTAGAGACTCCTTTTCATTTGCAGTGCCCTTCGACGAGGATGACAAGGACAAGTCGGTGTGGTTCCTGGATCACGACTACCTGGAAAACATGTACGGCATGTTCAAGAAGGTCAATGCCAGGGAACGAGTGGTGGGCTGGTATCACACAGGACCCAAGCTCCACCAGAATGACATAGCCATCAATGAGCTGGTACGTCGCTATTGTCCCAACTCCGTGTTGGTCATCATCGATGCCAAGCCCAAGGACCTGGGTCTGCCCACGGAGGCGTACATATCCGTGGAGGAGGTCCACGACGACGGCTCTCCCACCAGCAAAACCTTTGAGCATGTGCCCAGCGAGATTGGCGCCGAGGAGGCGGAGGAAGTGGGCGTGGAGCACCTGCTGCGCGACATCAAGGACACCACCGTGGGCAGCCTGTCGCAGAAGATCACCAACCAGCTGATGGGACTGAAGGGTCTGAATGCCCAGCTGCGGGACATCAAGCAGTATCTGCAGCGCGTGGGCGACAGCAAGATGCCCATCAACCACCAGATCGTGTACCAGCTGCAGGACATCTTCAACCTGCTGCCCGACATTACCAACGACCAGTTCACGGGCACCATGTACGTGAAGACCAACGACCAGATGCTAGTTGTCTACCTGGCCTCCATGGTGCGCTCGATCATTGCCCTGCACAACCTTATCAACAACAAGCTGGCGAACCGCGACGCCGAGGAGGGCAAGAGCGAGAGCAAGGAGGCCAAGGAGAAGAACAAGGAGAGCAAGGACAAGGACAACAAAGAGACCAAGGACGGCAAGAAGACGGAGGAGAAGGCCGACAAGGGCAAGGACGAAGGCGGCAAGGGGTCGCGCAAATAGGAGCGAAAGAAGAAGCGCAAGCCCCGTCGCAAGCGAAAGAAGCAGGGGCCGCAGGATTAGCTGCTGCATCTTCTGGCGTCCAGGAACTGGAAACAACATCTCCAAGTAATCCGGCGTGGGTGTGCAATGGCCTCAGAGAAACAAACATTGCTACCATTCATCGTTAATTGTCCCCATGAAATCAAGCTCCCTCTTTATTATTTCGCCAGCTACCCGTAACTAATTAACGGCAAGTTTATGTAATTAAAAATTAAATAATTTAAATACTCTGATTGTTTGCTTGAAAAGAATATTTGACGCATGGGAACCCAACCACTTTTTCTTATTCCACACAAAAAAGACATTTTCCTTGTGTTTTCTTATTTCGTACAAACCGAAATTATATTTTAAATGAAATTGAATCATCGAACACATTGGAAAGGCAATGTAAATGGCTGTCTTACAATTGCCTTTCCAGCGCGCAGGAAAACGTGTGAATAATGCATTGTACAGGGCGCTCTCTATCTTAGAGCAGTTATTACTTAGAAAGCATTTTACCAAATTTCACTTGACTTACAGCTAAGCTAGTTAACGCTTACGAACTAAGGCTAGGGATTTTATTGTTAACACCATCGATGGCTGGACAACTAGAATTCTTAGGTTCACTATGTGCTTGCGATGCAATCAAACTAGATTAAACGTTGAGTTCCTCGTTCCTCCCTTTTCGGCTAAATTGTATATTGTGCACGGGGAGTCCTGCAAAATGGCTGCTTTGCAGGACTCCCGGTGGAATAGAGATAGATAAAGGAAGCCCCTCAGACCAGCCACTCGCTGGCCAGCGGGAACTTGAGCGGCTGGCAGCTGTTGAGTCTCAGCGAGCAGTTATTGTCCTCGGCAGCAAGTGGGATCCTTGTGGTCATCATGGGATTGCTCTGCACGGAGCAGAGGCTTAAACTATGGCTATGCGACTGCCTAAGACTAGAACTAATGATATCGTTGCTGATCCGATGCTGATGTTGATACTGTTGCTGGTTCCGATTGCGAATCTGATCCTCCGGCGGGCAGGTGTGGTTGCAGTTGAGATTGTTTGAGTGGAAGGCCGCCTGGCAGCTCCTTCCGTCGGCCCCTGAGGTTGTTGGTGACAAGCTGTTGCTGTGGCTGCTGCAGTTCAGGTTGTAGATCTTGATGCTGGTGCAGCTGGTGCGGATGTTGAGATGGACCTGGGCGTGGTCATGTCACACCGAAGTGCCTTGCTGGCCAGGCACCACCGATCCGCAGGATTCCTCTGCCTGGAAGGACTCCTGCAGCCTCTGGCGGCATCCGCCCTTCGAGGCAAAGCAGAACTTGTAGACAATGTACAAGGGAATGCACAGCACTGATGAGCAGGTCACCGCCCATCCCACCTTGTAGCTCCAGTCTGGGTAATAGTACTCCTCGCCAAGCATCTCCTTGTACCCCATAATGGAGAATATGAAGATGGTCTGCAAGTATATCGTTATTGTTATCTGAATGTATTGTTAACTCGTATGTTATTCCTCACCAGCAGAAACACGGGACTAATGTAGGTCCAGCAGATCCGCCAGAATAATCCTGGCTTGCTGCCTAACATCTGCTCTACATCCGAGCTGAAGCGATCTACGCCGTAAAACCAAAATACTCCGGCTGCCTCCACGAAGACCACAAAAAGAATGGCCAATCCAGGTCCATAGACATTCAGGAAGTTGACCAGCACCACACCGCCCTGAAAGGATATCAATTTTTAGTTTTCCAATTCCATTTTGCGTTGTTATACCAATGCAAACCAAATGGACTGAGCTATTTCTAGTGACTGTAGTTTGTATAATTATCATTATTTCTTTTTAATTTCCATGCTTTTCCCATTTTTTTTAAGTACAGCCATATCATAGCACCTTAGACCACCTAGGAGCAAATCTCCAATCAACAGATTCCCTCTTAACTGGCACTGATTAATGGCTGTGGGCTGAGTTATTGAATAGCTTGATCCCCTGACCGATACTGGTTACTTCAAATGGCCAAGTGACCAGGACAGGCAGAAATAAAGAAGGTGGCAAATTACAATTTCAAATGTAATCAGATAAAGTGGCGGGAGGAAGAACTTGGCTGGCTGCAGGAGCAACTGGCCACACATCGGTGGTTGTTTGACCGGGTTGAAGGCAAACATGCCCACTGCTCTTGACAGGTGATAAAAATGCAGGAGAGTCAAGGGAGTGAGTGTGTGGAGATTAACTGGCGGACGATAAAAAGCACTTAACACGGCAATCCATCGACTTCTAGCTGGCATATTTAAACAGGGGTTGCTATCAGCTAGATGGAGCGTTAAATGGGCCAGTTGGACATGCATGCATATGTATCAGGCGTGCTTAGGAGTTAATTAACCGAATCACGGCCTGGAATACTCACGTAGGTCATCGTAGGGAGGGCGCACAGGAAGATGAAGGCCAGGAGCAACAGGACGAACAGCTCCCTTCGCCGGCCAATCACTCGAGGATATTCATCGCACAAGGCCGTTATCATCGCCTCTAGTCCGCCAAAGGTACTGTCCAATCCCAGGGTGATCAGCATCAGGAAGAAGATGATGCTCCAGAACACCGAACCGCTCATCGTGGCAATGGCCTCCGGATAGACAATGAACACCAGTCCGGGACCCTCCAAGCCCACTTTGTCGATGGAGGTCTTTTGCACGAAGGCCATGTACCTAAAATACAGAAAAATAAATTATTAAGTTACTCCGCAAAATATTATCTTCAACTGGTATGCTATTTTATAATTTAATAGTTTGTATATGTGATTCCCTCGCAATTAACATATGAAATATCATCTGTAAACTAGTTTATCTGTGTTTTATAAACTAATAAAATAGAAAGTGAATTCATTGAAGGGTAAAAACATTTACCATGAGACAAATTAAAATAACAAAAAATGTATGATGTACAAAATTCAAAATAGGTATATAAAATAGGTATCACTTTCATCTTATTCAAGTATAATTTTCTAGAAAGTTTTCAAGTAACTATTGAATAAATTATATATCAAAGAGCTTAAACCTTGAAAATTAAATATTTAAAAATCTTAAATAATTATAGTGACTAGTAACATCAAACGTAAACTCACCCCAAAACGGAGAAGATGACAAAGCCGGCCAAAAAACTGGTCAGGCAGTTGATGCTGCTCGTGATGAGGGCATCGCGATAGCAGTTGTTATTAAATTTGTTATAGCTGGACAGGGCCAGCAATGTGCCAAATCCAGGACCCAAAGAGAAGAATATCTGCGATGCGGCGTCAATCCAAACTTTCGAGTTCTTCAGCTTGTGCCACTCGGGCGTTAAGTAATACATAATACCCTCATATGCGCCAGGCAGAGAAACTCCTCGCACCAAAAGGATTATCAAAACCACATATGGAGCCAATGCTGTGACCCACACAACTTTTCCGGCACTTCGCACTCCTTTCCAAAGTGAGAAGTAAACCAGGACAAAGACCCCGAAAACACAAAGTGCCAGAGTTGGCTTCACTGGACCCATGAATTCCAGGCCATTGCCCTTGTAACTCTCCAACACTCTTCGCCTGTAAAACAATTACTTAGGGATATGATTTTAGGGATATACAAGGTATACCCACTCAAAGAACTCTTTGGCTGGTGAGGTGGCAAATTCCGTGAAGTTTTCACTGGTCACCTGCATACAATTCTCCGTATTCCATGGATTATCGCAGGATGTCCACGGCAACTTGGATGTGAACGAGGCGAAGAGATAGTAAACCGCCCATCCAATAATAGTGTTATAGTACATGCCCATATAAATGTCAATCAGGCAGATCGCATAGCCAACACCTGAAAATTTTAAGAAGGTTACACTTTAAAGTTGGAAAAATAGTTAGCTAAAACTGACATTGATATATCTAAGTTTCCAAAGGACATTGACTTAAAAGTGCATCTTAAAATGTTTAAATGATTTTAGTTTTCCTTTTACTTTAAATGTTTAAAAATACCTACTGAGAATTTAATCTAAATATAATAAGTTTACTGGTATTTAAAGAGAAACTCTACTAATAGGAGTTTTAAACAGTTCAGATATACTCCTATAAAATCCCTATTATCCCCATTAATTTCCTTGATTGCTCTCTTAACAAGACTGCGAAGCTCGCAAATCAACAGGTAGCACTTAAAATGCAGCTTAACTTGGCCTGGGAATGCCAATATATCTGATTGAAAACGGGCAAAGGAGAATCGGAAAAGCAATTGGAATACTCTATATTCCCGCGTGACAATTTGCAGGTTTCATCTTTTATACAAACCACCCTCTGTGTTTTTCCGTCCGTTTACTTATGAGGCCAATAAGACACGTCACGTGATTTAGCCTCCTTTAAGTTTTCCACTCGCTTTGCTTTCCGGCTGCTTTCCATTCATTTCGAGTCGCTCGGCAAAAGGTTTGCCAAAGCAAACACTTGTTGAGCAAATGATGACTGCCACAAAGTGGTGTTTGCTCTTGGACTTTTTACGAGGCAGCAAGTTGGAGTGGGATTTGGCCTAGACAAAGTGACTTGGCAAAAGTTGGAGCCGACTTTAAGCGAGCAGCAAATCCACTGGAGCAGGCCATACATTTTGTTTGTCACTTAATGGAATTATCAACTCGATATGCAAAACTTTGAATAGGACTTCCCCTCCAGTGGCTGTCTTTTCATCGCTGGTGCTGGTGTAAATCAATTTGAGGACAATTTAATTAGGGCCTTGAGCCCGGATGGAGGTCCTGATTTGGGCTTTGTGCGTTCCGCTTGAATAAGTCGTTAATTGTTGCAACAAAACTGGTGACTCTTATCCATTTCACTGCTTGATAATGTCGCAGGCACACACAATGGTCTACCCCCCTGTTCCTTCTTTTTGAAAAACCCCCTCCCCCACTCTCCAAAAAAAAAAGAAAAACAGGAAACTTTGGTCCTTTGTGCGGCCAACAAGTGCGGGTGGCCTCGGAATCTGGCTGAGACAATAATGCTCGGCCGAGTGTAAAATATCAGACATCAACAACACACGAGTTTTGTGTTTTATATGAATTTCACAGAGCCACGCTGCGTATACTTAATTTCTCATTACAAAATGCTAGCGCCCGAGGCGAAAAGTCCTCTGCGCAAATATTGAACGCCTTTATAGATTTTAATATGCAATCAGGTTTTTTTACATTCGGCGACTAAAACCCAATATTTGTAATTCATTTAAACTGCCATTTAATCTTGCATTATATACGGAGGCCTAAGGCTATTTCAAATTTATTGACTTATCATTTTTTAGGGCTCACATGTGGGGATCCCTGACTTTGTACTCACCTTTTAGGGCTGGACAAATGCGTTTCCAAATGCTGAGGCAGCCGCACCGATGGAACTGCCCCAAAGCCAGTTCCATATAAAATAGGGGCAGACCGCCGAAAATGAGAAAGAGGCAGTAGGGCACAAGGAAGGCACCACCTCCATTTTGGTAGCAGATGTACGGAAACCGCCAAACATTTCCCAAGTCAACGGCGAAGCCAATCACGGCCAGCAGGAACTCGGCTTTTTGGCCCCACGTTTCTCGAGTTCTCTCCGTCACGGACACAACCAAAATGCGCTAATATCAGGTACAGAATAAGGTAATGTAGCGTTATTAAACTATTATTCGGAATCTTGAACAAATTTAAATTGGAATTTTTGTTCAAATAACAAAAGTATTATCACAAAATAATAAAAATATAATATACAAACAGCATATCACTGTTTTACATAAATCTTTACCACAAGATCATAAGCGACATATCTAGCCCATAATTAACTAAGTGCTATAAAACAGAGCCTTAAGTAAATATCTACTTTACAATTTTGGAAATCTAAGCAAAACAACTGTTTTCATTGAAAGTTTTCAAAACGCTCTGTTAAATTATAGTGTACAAATTACAATTGAAGGTCTGAAATCGATTGTTTTTTTGTAACTTACTGATCAATTCAGGTTTTCAATAGTTCAAAGTTCATAGAAGTCATCTTGTGGGATCTCATAATTTCAAATTTAAAATCTAACATTAGTAGTTTATTAATAAACCAATTCATTTGAAAGTTCTAAGAGAACACCATAAATTTAGATACTTTTTTAATGTTTAAATAACATCATTTTTAAAAGGAAACAAAAAGAATTAATTTAAATTAAACAAGAAGTCTATTATTTTTTTTAGTCAACGAAATCTCTGCTATTGCTCAGATTTAAATTATGTTTTATGATATTTTTCAGACAGGAGAACTCACCTCGTTGTTGGCCAATTTGGGGGCCAGTGGATCGGTGACCTTGGCGGGTGTGGCATGGTCGCCGTCGTCCTCGTTGGAATCGTCCTCGTTGTTCGGCGACTCCTTGTCGTTACTCCAGGGAGCGGGATTCGAGCGGCCCGTCGTGGCAGCTGTTCCTCCGAAATCGGAACTCCCGCTGCGATCCATGTTGCCGTGAGGGGGGCGTTTGAGGGGCGGGGGCGTGGTGCCTGGAGGCGTGGCAGTGTACGCCGATCGGGGCACTAGCTTAGCCAGCCGAACTCTGAACTCAGTCCGGGGGCCAGAAAAAGCGAAAACTGCGCTCTATTTGCGGCTTTTCACGGCGCGCCACCTGCAATCTGCAATCCCTTCGCTTTTCCGCTTTTCCGGCCCGTTTAGCGCTGTGGTCGTGGAAATTGCATTTTCCCCTCGACTCTTAACATGCTGGACTCGCTGTATCGACTGGCCAATAACTGAAACCGAAGTTAAACAATTGCATTAAATGGGGCATGGCTAATGATGGTCATTTATTGGCATGCGATTTCGATTTTCTGCCCCAGGGAAGCATTAAAATTCACAGATTTTTGCAAATAGTTTGGAGATTTTAAATAAAATGTAAAATAGTAAATGCCCCTCACTGAATTGTGAATTTAAATGGCCGCGGTGTCCTTTAAACCACACTAATGGCCACCAAAAATCCTTTCAATGTCAATATCGTGAAATATTGCAATTTCCGATTATATTCCATTAACAACTTTAAAGGTTTATCCTTGAATCACACTTTTACATGCTAAATTGAACCATGGTGCTTAACGAATCTCACTTGGCCAAATGAATTCACAATGAAAACAATTACAGCCTTGATCTTATTCAGGGGCTTCAGACACCCCTTTGCATGAATTTTTAATTGCCATTTAATTGTGGCACACACGCGAAGCCAAACAGCAGATAAAGATAAAGAAAGTTGAACACATGTGCCGACGGACCACAGATGGAATTTCCAAATGGGAAGCGTTTGATAAGACAAGTGCTGAAAATACGGGCCAGCGAAATTCGAAACAATCAAAATACACTTTGAGATAAGAAGAATTCCTACCAGATGCTACACATTAGATATTTAGCAGATGCAAGAATTGAAAGAACTTTAATTAATAATTTTATTAAACAAAGAAGCTCAATTTCTTGTATTAGGATTTAATACTTTTGTTTAAGAACTTTGTCATATTTACTTTTAAGGAAATGATCTTTTGAATTAAGCATCACAAAATACATTACATGTAACTAATGTTAATAGTGCTGTTTGGTATAAAAATTGTTTATTTTGGGCAGCTTTAGCTGTTCATTTAAACTTTAGCTGAATATTTTTTTTTTATCAATTTTTACATTTGATCGAGAGCTTTTGATATACATATTTGAAATTAAAAGTAATTGCAAATTGACTAGCTTTTTTTTTTTTTAGAATAATTTAATTAAATATATAAATGTGTTAAATAAAACGGTTTTCAGTGTTAAAAATATTTTTTAATACTTACTTGTTAAAATTAAACTGTATAAAAAACGTATTTCTCAGCACAACCGCCAGTTATTCAACTAAAAAAATTGCCACATTTACTTTGAATTTAGCACTTTGAAAAATGTCCAAGGCACTGCACAAATTTTAAATTTTGAGGACTTCCATGCGTCCGATTTGAGAGACGCGCGCCGCTCCTTTGGGCCAACTGATGAATCCTGCGGCCGGAGTCGTCCTTTTATACGTTCGCTGCGCAGGCGGGCGCCAAGAAGTCGTCGGCAGGACGACGCAGGACGAGCCGAGTATCCTTCGGCTTGGCTTGCCCTGCTCAAAGTATCCTTTTTGGGGTTGGAGGCTAGGGCAACCAAACTTGGGGCTCGTGGACAGGTGGCAAAGTGTAACTTAAATTGCAGCAAACTGTTGCTCATCGAAGTTGATTGAACGCCCGCCCTCTGCCTCCCCAAAAGTGGGCGTTGCTGTGGGCGTGGCCCATTAAGAGCGCCTAGTTTGTCTTGTTAAATGGTTGCCACATTACTATACTGTCCAGCCGATTGACAAGAGCAAAAGTTCCATTTCACTAATTCAGTTTCGAGTTGGAATGGATAATTGCGGAAATTATATTATGCAGTAAAGTAAAGCGAAGTCATAGAGCCAATTAAAGTATTTAAGTAATTATTTTACTCATTTTTTTTATTAGAAAATTTTTTTGACACTTTTTAATTTTTTATTTGAGTATTATGGGTTATTATTTGTGTTTATGTTATTTTGGTAGTTATAGTTTAATAAGGTCTGAATGTATTTCAGAATGCTGTTTTTTTTGTAGAGTTAATTGGATAGAAATCTCCTTACTTATTTGTGTTAAATAAATTTATGCTCTTTTTTAACTTATATTTTGTATTAATTTCCTTATTTGTTATAATAATAAATATTTATTGTAGCTGGGGTAGCTAAAGTTATTAAAACTAAACTTCATACGGATTAGTTATTATTGAAATTTTATTTATTTCTTAAAAACATATTATTGTTATGGCTTTGTTTTATATTTTTCAGGATCACCCTCACTTTTCACTTAACACTTTCGAGTCGATTGTTTTGATTGATTTCGTCTAGATTTATACAGAAATTATTTATAATTCCACTGAAAAACAGATGGCAATCACAGTTAACAGTTGAATTCAGTTGAAATCGGTTTCGATTGGTTGCAAACAGACTTTCGGGGAAGTTAACTTGTGGATAATTCCGAGTTGTTTACCCATTGAAAAGCGGCAGCCATCTGATTTTTATAGTCACGGTCTTCTAAGTGATCACTAGATTTTATTGAGAATCATTAAGTGCTTTTTTATAGAGTTTAATTAAACTTTTTGTTTATTTATTTGCTAATTATTGCGAGTGGAGATTGCGAGAGCGTAGCGCGCACATGCTACTCGGTTTGTCAAGTGGGTAAATCAGCGTAATTGCGAATCGCCATCGGCACTATAATTCGCGGATCGGGGGTTTTGTGGGGTATTTATTATCTGGAGTGCACACTTTTTCTGTGGTTGAGGTAGGCGATCTTGTAGTTGATGAAGAGCAGAGGTGATGTATCTTTTTTCCCTTTAGACGCTCTGTCTGTCAATGGATGATCAGGGATAGAGATGTACCATGGGTGTTATTCACCAGCCAACCACCCACGTCAGCGGATCATCGCTGAATGTGCGTTCCTGAACTATTTTGCCACAAAACTGCGCTTACATAACTGTATTGCGACATCGAATTTCCTACAAAAGCCACAAACTACGTCATCGGCTCCACATTTATTATAATAAACGGAAGGCGTGAGGTCTTAATGGATTGCCATTGATCAGGTGGTCGATCCAAGCAGCTGAGTAGTGTCATCAATAATTTATTTTAAAATGTTTTGTGATTAATGGAAGTGTGCTTAGAAGTTTAACACCTGCAATTAAAGGCCCTTAATGCCTTTGTTTTATTTAATTTTTATATTAACACAGCTGAATCTTGTATATCAAGTTGATCTTAGGTTCAAGTATTTTTATAAGTACTGGCAGATAAATATTATAAAATGTGGGTAAAGTTTATGGTTTTACTGTGGGTATATTCTACTAGAAATGATCTTATCTTAGGGACTTAAACTAAAGATAGCTAGATTTGGAACTTACTTCGAACATTACGAGAATGAATATTCATCGATGAATTAAGTTAAATTTGGTCGTAAGTCTCAGATCAGCGAATTCTAAGCACAGTTCATTTTCTTTTACTTTCAAGAGTGTCTTATTTGTAATTAAATTATTTTATGTTATCAATCTTAGTTTAAATGTCAAATAATTCTCTAATTTTCTTAAAAAGTGGAAAATCCAGCTAGAGTATTAAGTATCCAGGGCATAAAGATGGACAGATTTGTGTAGTAGGCCTTCTGACCTTTACCACAAAGTCCTTTTCCATGGCTGGCCAGTCCAAACATCATCTGTCGGGTGGATCTAAGGTACCTTCCCAATCGAATCAGTGGTCCTCCTGAGTTTTCGTGGCATTCAGTGTTTTCGGTGGTACAGAGAAACGATTGATGTGCATCCACAGGGCACTGCTCCGTAGTCACATTTTCCTCATTTAGAGTGCCTTCCAGGATTTTTCCGGTCTGTTTCCATCTGAGAGATATGTAAGATTGACCTATAAACGAAGTTGACTTTTGCACTTCGGGGGACAGAGGTAGACAAATCGGTCGAATGTGATCTGCAAAAATAAAATTAGTATATGGTAAATCTATGTAGGGTATGGTATTTCGTGTTACTAACCTTTAAAGACCACCTTTCGGTCCAATCTCAGCAGAGCAATATCATTTCCAAGTTGGTTATATACAAAGTTATCGTGGGAAATACTTTTGATTACAGAAAACTCTTCCACCATTGGTGCACATATAGTTTTTTGGCCGTATAATATGCAGTCTTTTGCGGTCGTTAAGTTGTTTCCTCCTAGACGAACTTTGAATCTATTCAATAATATAATTATTTTAATATCAAAAACGAGCTTTCCATTTCAACTTATATTTTACTTACTCGCTTGATGGGGGACAAAATGCAAGGCAATGTGCGGAAGTTAAAACAAATCCTAAATAGAAAAAATGAATTTAGATAAATTTACTTCTTGACTTGGAATAATATTATACTTACTTTCTGATATTAGTGTGCCTCCGCAGTGACAATCATTTATATCTTTTTCTGCATAGATTAAGGCCATCCAAGGTTGGGACATGAGGAAGGCCATCCCTTTACTACTTTTAATTTTTTGAATTGGATTCAACTTTGATAATCCGCAATCCAGCTCCTTCAGCTGAGTGTAAACTCTGAATTCTTCTAGTGTCAAAAAATGAGCTAAAGGAATTATGCAAAATATTACCCAAAAAAGGGCAAAAAACGGGAGCGATGTGTTCATGATCCAAGCTTATATCAAAACAGACTGAACGCTAGTCTGCGGTTGAAAAACATTTATGTCCCACGCTTATCGCTTAATAGAAACCCAGGCGAGAATCCCTTTAAAAATATGTTAATAAATTTTGCAGATTAGCAAAACCAATTCCGGATAAAATCAAAAGAAACCGCAATAAGTAAGATAACAATATTGTACAAATAAAATTGTGTTCAATAAGTTTTTGCAATAACCGATAATCAATAAACGAGTAGGCATATTCATTTTAGATAAGTTTGTATAAAAATAGATTTTGTATTTTGATACCTCAAACATTTTAAGCAGTTTAACAAATATTTGAGATATTTTTAATAATGTTTAGCGACTACTTATATTATGTTTATTATTGTGTGCTTCTATGTTTAGTTAAAAAATAATATTTATAATTTCCACTAAAGTAGAATTTTTAAAATTAATGGCTTAGGAACCATTTTCTCGACCTCATGTTAGGTTAAAAACCGAAAAAACCTGGTTTTTATTTGCATAAAATTGTGAAATTGATCTATGTTAAATTCAAATCCCTAGTGACTCCCAAACCTTACCGCCCAAAAGTTCAGAGCCTCTCCAACTTTCTCAATGCAGGTTAAGAGGCATTAAACTTTGCCCTGGGAAAGTATTTTCTGCTTGCCCAGCTATGGCCACACTAAGGAGCCATTCTCACAAATGCGCTGGCAAAACAAATAAATTTTTGTTGATTTTTTGTCGATTGTCAAATAAAAAAACGAAAAACTCTAAAAGTTTTGATAGTTAAAAATATTATTTGCATGAAATGCGCTTGACAAAACTCTGGCAGAATCGCTCGCCCGGCGACCGGCACTTGAGCACATATTATTGCTTTGCGGCACTGCGTTTGCTGTTGGTTTTCGTGCCCCAACTGGGTTATGTGCATCCGGATGAGTTTTTCCAAAGTGTGGAGGTGATGACGGGTGAGTACTGCTTGGGATATTATCCCCTCTATAAGCTTTACTATATCCCAAACCTTGCAGGCGATCACTTTCGGCTGGAACATACGCGCGCTTGGGAGTTTAACAACTCTTTGCCAGTGAGGTCAATAGTTCTTCCTTTTGCGCTGCTCCGAATTCCTTGGAGTTTCTATGAATTCATCGCCGAATGTTTAAAAGCCGGATGGCAATTGGAGCTCTTGGGTACCTACACCTATGTGGTGTTTCCCCGCCTCATTTACACTTTGATTTCATACTCCAACGACTATTGTTTGTACCGCATTTGCCGGTTGTATGGACTTCGTTTCGAAATCCGTCTTTTGGCCTTGGGAAGCTCCTGGATTTTACTCGTCTTCGGCACCCGCACCTTCTCCAACAGCCTGGAAATGGCCATGTGCTCCTGGCTGCTCTGCTTGGTATCCGAATGTATGCTGCGCACCAATACGGTGGTCTACAAAAAAGAGTTCCTCGAGGAGAAGTACGACAAGGCGGAGTCCATCAGCGAGCGAGTGCGGATTTGGAAGCTAAAGAACTCCCTGCCGGCGCACAATCTACAACACCTGATGACCATGTCCACCATCTGTGTGGCTGGCGTTTTCAATCGACCCACCTTCCTGTTGTTCGGAGCACCCATGGTCTTCTTTTGGCTGCTGCGAGGCATGGGAACCAGAAGCGTTACCTTCCGGGACTTTAATCTGAGGATTGTGCTGTTCTGCTTGTGCTCACTGCCTGCCTTGGCGATCTTCATCTTCTGTGACTCCTTGTACTACCAACATTTGACCCTCGGAGAACTGCACATGATGCACCTGAGCATCGATAACTTCGTCTTCACGCCCTGGAACTTCATCAAAGCCAATTTGGATTCGGCGCAGACTGCCAGCCATGGAGTGCACCCTTGCTATGTCCACCTGATGCTCAATATGCCAATGCTCTTCAACGTTTTGGCACTGGCTTCATTGGGAGCCTTTGCCCAGCTGCTACTCAGATTCTTCAGGGCGGAATACCAAGTGCTGCCGCGCTTCCAGAGCATCGTGTCTTTGATGTCGGGGGCCATCTTTGTACCACTGTTCTTTCTTTCGTTAATTAACCATCAGGAGCCGCGATTCCTGCTGCCTGTGACTTTTCCCCTATTGCTGCTACATGCTCCTAAGCTAATTACAGGATTCAGTGCCAAGTATCCCTTCCAGAAGGATCACCCGCTGTTGCGATGGTTCTACGACAGACTACTTTCCAGCAAAGCTTCGGGACCCTACCTGCTGAGGATCTGGTACGTGAGCAACGTGGCGCTGACCCTCTTCTTCGGCTTCATCCATCAGGCGGGCGTTTATCCATTGGCGGCGGAAATGTCGCATGTAATAGCCACCAAGCCGGCGGCCACACACGTTCATCTGATAACATCACACATCTACAGTTTGCCTCTACATCTAATCAACATTCCCAGCTCGAGAGTGATGCATTTCAACAGGCAGACCCATCTGCGATATCGTCGCCCTCGTGATTTCTACATGTACGAGTATGGAGGACTTTCCCTGGACCTCCTGCTACAGAAGGTGAAGCTTATTAGTGGCAACTGCGAAGTGAAACAGTCGGGACCCAGTCGCTTGCGCTACAAGCTGTACTTGGCCATTCCAGCCTCCTTGAGTGCAGATCTCCACGAGGCACTGGTGCACTCCAATGCCAGCAGCTACCTGAACTTCGAGTTAATCAACGTCTTCTACCCACATCTCTCCACGGAGGCATTTCCCCGCCTGCAGGGCAGGCATCCCTGCGATGTGGATGCCCCTCATTGGGCGCACGACGATCTCCGGGGCACTTGTGCCGTGGAGCAGCCACCAGCGCTGAGTTTTGCCTACCTGAACAAGCAGTTCAGCTCTTTTGTCCATCAACTGGGACTGGCGCTCTACGAGATCGATGTAAAGCGCAAAAAGCCGCTTTCTGTGCTTCTACAGAAATCCTCTTTGACGGAAAGACCAGCGTAGGGTTTTTTATTTGATAATTCAAAGTGCCTTGAACCAAAGTTGTAGGCTAAGATTTATTACTTTTTATTGTAACTCAAGTCTGGTAAAGCACAACTTCCGTAAACATAAAACTATTTATTGTAAAGCTTGACTTCTGTAAACATTCCTGCTTGGTGCACAACAAACTTGATTTTTATAAATATGTCTAGTCATTACCAAATAGCTACCTAATGTTTAACTATCAATTAAGTTTTCACAAATACTCGAGCCAATCTGTAGTTAATTATTTAGGACAATAATACTGATTGAGCAGAGATAAACGGTGCAGCTAAAAAGGGAATCCTATTTGAGAGGTAAGCAAGAACTTTTCCACAAAATCACTTAACATGTTTCAACAATCAGTAATCAGAATCGTAATTCTGTCCATTTCAGTTGTCGAATGCTCGTTGCTGGAAAAGAGTAATCCATTTGACACGCCGTTGGCTGTTAATTCCCGACAAACATCTGAGGGCGTAAAGGCGCGGCATCCGCGTTCATTGAACGTTACCAGGCAGAAATCTCGTTGCGGACGCAATTGTGTTCTGATTTAGATTTTTGTATTTGGGCTGCCTAAGCCGGAAACCCGTTTTTGGCAATGCGGCGACAATTGGCCTATAAAATGCTGGAGAATTTTAGTCAAAAGCATCAGTCACTGACAAACCAACCAACCCAAACAACCAAATCAACATGAAGGTGAGAAACAGTTGGCCATTCAGGATGATCAGCCATTAAAGGATTCGATTTTGCCTCTTTTTAGTTCCTCATCTGCTTGGCTCTCTGCATCGCCGCCGCCCAGGCTGGCTACATTGCCTCTCCGGTGGCCACCTATGCCGCCACCTACGCCGCTGCTCCGGCTGTGGCTTACAGTGCACCCGTGACAACCTATGCTGCCGCCGCTCCTGCCTACTCTACCTACGCCGCCGCCGCTCCTGCCTACTCCACCTATGCCGCCGCTGCCCCTGCCTACTCCACCTACGCCGCTGCCGCTCCCGCCTACACCGCCTCGGTGTACAGTGCTCCGGCCTACACCGCTCCTGTGGCCACCTATGCCGCTCCTGGTGCCGCCTACGCCGCACCCATCACCACCTACTCGGCTCCGGCCATCGTCAGCCCCTTCCTGAAGAAGAAGTAAACAGGACCCACTTATTGACACATCCAAATGATTCGATAAACTAAATAAACCGCCAATTTAAGCGAATTCTGTGACTTTTGAAAACATTATTAGTTTGCAAATTTTGAACTGTTAATAGTCACCACCCAGATCAATCTATGTTGTTGTTGTGACCAACCCTGATCTAGAGTTAACCAAACAACAAACTAATTGCGAATGCATATTTTATTCTATTCAGGACGACTTAATCGTCCAAAGAAGAATATTTTCGTATTCTCAATGATGGCAAACAGAAAAGGGCGATTGCAAGTGACCAGTAGTCCACCATATTCCAAAGTTTTCTTTTTCTTTCTTGCTCGAGCAGATAATAATAATTCATCGCCTGAAATATAATTTAAAGATTCCAAAGCAATACCAACAAAAACATAAGGCTGATACTAAACCTGCAGCTGCTACTATCCTGGATCCTTTTTCATCCACATTAATGGAGGCCGAGTGCTGTATGCTGTCGATCCTAATTTTTTCCTTCGATTTGGTAAGTTCAGAGAGATCGGCATCGTTGAATATGTTCGTTACTCCCAATTCAATTAATGGCTGCGCCAAATCTTGGTCGTACTTAATCGAAAATTTTGGCAAGGAAACTTGAAGCTTCTTTAAACTCAAACTACTTAAATCGAGTGACCTTAGATTGTCCTCCGCCTTCCGGATTCCCCGGAAAGATTTGGGCACAATCAAGAGCATAGATAAGCTGGAGTTGGCATAGGGAATTATAGTCACATGAGAGTCTAATTTGTCTTGAAAGTCGTATTTGAAATTTCCGAAAAGGTCCATCATTTTAATGGCAACCGAACGTCTTTCGTCCGGCAAATAAAAGTTTCCCGTTGAAGCTCTTTTCAAAGGGATCTTCCATTCACCCACGAATCTGACGACATTTACGAGAATCACTTTCGTTGCATCATCCAGCATTGAGAAATCTATTAGATCCACGACCTTGCCCTTGGTTTTAGATGACACCCACTGGTTTATTTTACTGGCACCCTGGAAATTCAGATCCATGCTCCCGGCATCGACATGGAGGTATTTCCTCGACATTTTTTGATAGCTTGGTAGGATAGTTATTCCATTTGCCACAAACATTCGACTGTTTATTAAAATGTGGGGATTGATTCGTTGAAAGGTCTCCATGATCTCTGACTTGGATCTCCCAGGGAAACCCAAGACGTTACGCAGCTCGGTTTCAGTTTCTCCGGCGGCTCCCAGGTAAATTTGGGCCAAGGCCAAATCGATTGCCGTCGGGCTGAAGATCATATTGGTGTCGGATAGTTCTAAAATGATCTTCGAAGCCAGCTGAAGGGCAGTGAATTTTTTCGGGTGAACTTCATTTGTAATTAAGTACAAGAGCAAAAAACTCCACACGATCTTTGGCATTGTTAAAGAGTTACTAATAGAACATTGGATATGAAACCCTTTTGAGCCAAATGTATTCGCTACAGATTATTTATTTATTTACGCTTGTCAAATGCCTAAAACATATTGGATCGCCACTAAAGCTACAGTTCACTTAAGATCTAGGGAGTGCTAAAAGCGAAATACAAAACAAAGTGCAATATTCGAGATGGATTCGATGGGTTCAATGGAGATTGTGGCTCAAGTACATGGGACTCTTCGGTGCGTCGACCTCCTCGAAGTCAAAGTCCTCGGTTTCGTCCTCGTTCCAGCGCACCGTGCGATCACTACTGATTATTATCGATTTTGGTGGCCGTGCGGGGAGAGAAAGTAAGTTCAGAATATATAGACTTTGTCGCTGTGAACACAATAAGAATTTGTGTGTGTTTTGGTTGGTACTTTCTTGTCTCTGGCATGTGCACAAGATTCGATCAAATCAATCAAAAAACCAAAAGTCAAAATCAAAAAACAAACACATTGGCAACAGAATACGGTTAATAACGTTGGTAGAACCTGTTCAAGCCGGCCGCTGGCGGTGGAGGGGGCGGAGGGGCGCCCCTGGGCGGCGTGCGTCGGGCGCTGAAAGATCACGAAAACCATTGTTATTTTGGGAGTTTTCATTATTCCATTAGTCTAGGTGTCACAGAAATCTCAGGCGAAGCTAAGGTCGTTCGGCTTGGCTAGTCTCTTGAAAACTTATGGGCTTTGTGGCTCTGGTTACTTGGTTTTTTGGACCTCTGCTGACAGATCAATTTCGTCATGGTCATGTTACAGATTCATTCATAGCTTGGTCAGGTAATTAACAATAGAGAGAACAATCTAATTTGAAGCCCTTCGAGGTTTGTATATTATCAAGAGAGCCATATCATATGATCATATTTGTAGATCGACACTTTTGAAATGAATCCTTATATTAGGTTCATTTTCTATATGATATAGAAATAGTAGATAGTCCACTATTTTATAAAATTATAATTATCCGCATCACCTTCCTGTTCTAAGACTTGCTAAGCTCTTTTAATAAAATGGTATGGGAGTTATCCCGAAGTACAGCGATAGCTATAAACTTAACACCAAAAAACACTTTTATTCTTTAGATTTCCGTAACACTTTCATGGGATTTGGACTTACGCCGCAACGTCCGCATCCAAATGGCTTCCAGCACCGTAGGCATCGCTTTCATCCAAGTCGAATTCATCGGTGCCGGTGCGTTGGCTGTGGGGAGTACCAATATGATTAGTTTTTAACATATAGTACATATCTCAGAGAAGAAATACTGAAATTGCTAATGGGTGTGGGTGTTTGGTAGTGGAGGTGCAGTGATCTTCAAACTGGCTTTGGGTTTTCTTTAAGGTACCGGGACTGAGACACTCACAGGCGCTGATTCCGCTTGTTGACAATGTCCTGGACAGCTCGGGCGGTCAGCGACACCTTGCTCTTGAGACGCATCGGCGTCCTGGGCATCGGAATGGCGGCCGGAATGTCCGGGTTAACGCTGAGCACGGGAGTAATGGGACGCCGGGCCGTTTCACTGCTAGCTCTATCCGCATTGGTACTACGTCTGGCATGCACAGAGGGGGTGGGGCAGAGAGTGAGTGGGGGAGTCGCGGAGGAGAATCGGGGTCACCAGGGGGTCACTTACAACTTGGCCTTAGTACGGAGATTGGAGCGATGACTGCGCGGATCGGGTCGTTGTTCTGGACTGACACTGGACTGGTTATGGGAATGGCTCTGAATCTGAATGTGGTTCTGGTTCTGATTTTGATTCTGATTTTGGGTCTGGGTCTGCCACCCTCTATCCTCGTGGCCATCATCAAAGTCGAATTCCTCAGTGCCTTGGCGGCGACTTTTGTTTAGAGGGTAGACAAATCAGAAAGGGGGAGTATCTAAGGATAGCTAAGGGTCCTCGACTTACAGTGGCGTCTTGATCTTATTGCGCGACTGCCAAATATTGAGAATCTTTCTAGTCTGACTGGACTCACGATCTCGCTCATGGGAGTTGGCCCTACTGGGTCCGCTGGATGAGCCCCAATTGTCATCTTCGGGATCGTGGCGCCTGATGCAAATGAGAATGCAAATGCAATAGGATGGAACGAGTTCGAGATGCAGTGGTTCCATGGAGGATAACTACTCACAGCTGCTGGCGACTGCGACTGCGCACCGGCGTATTTAAGGCGGACATGTCACGGCCCCGACTCAATTCCCGCTCCCGACTCCGCTGGTCCCGCTCGCGCACCCGCTCCCTGTCCGATTCCCGCTGGCTCTGCTCCTGGCGACGTGGTGGTTGTTGTTGTTGCTGCTGCTGCCTCGATGGGGTGGAGTCCTCGTCGGCCAGGTCCAAGGTTTCTTCAGTGGCAGTGCGTCTTCTGTGAGGGGTTAGGTATTAGAATTGTAACACTAAGAAATCAAAATCTTGAAAATCAATGAAATGATCGAGGTCACCAATTAGTATTTGTATCTGATCTTAACTTTTCTCATAAGTGATATATCTAGGATTGTAATGCTTTTGCCCGTTTCCCGAATTAATGCAGATTAATTGATGATTATAATAAAAGCTTATGTATACCACTTTCAGGTTTCATTAGTGACCTATTTTGATGGATCATTAAAATTTAAAAAACAATTTTTTATGACCATTCCTAATCCGACAACCTATCTTGACTATTTCGGAATATACATTGTGGGTCACATTTTCAATAATAAAGGGATTATTATAATAATAAGGGCTTAAAAATACAAATTTCTTTTTATTTTTTATTTTTATTAAATTTTTTATTAATTATTTGTATTAAATATTTTATTAATTATTAATAAACGGGAGTATTTTTTTGGGAGGGTTAACTCACAGTGGTGGTTTTGGTCGCGCCGTGCTGCTAGTGCTGCGTTCCCGGCTCTGCTCCCTCTTTCCGCTCCTCCCGCTGGCCCCCGCACTGCTCGTCCGCTGCTTCTTCCGCCCGCGACTCCCGCTCCGCTGCTCCTGATCCGGACTCCGGTCGCTCCTCCGCTGCCTTCCCTTGCTGCGCGACTGGGCGGCCTGCATCACATTGAGCCGCGTTTGGACCGTGATCAGATTGAGGCCAACTGGAGTGCCGATGGCCCAGAGGAGCAGCGTGAGGAAGATGAAGAAGGTCAGGCCGTTGATGAAGTCCACCATGTTGCGGCAGATGAAGGTGCGGCTGGCGTCGAAGGTGTCGTAGAAGGGTCGGCACTTGGTGGTGGTGTCGCCCAGCTGGGACTCCATGGTGGCACGACTGGTGGTCAAGTAGGCCTTCAGGCTGTGGCGGTAAAAATATTTAGCATATTTTCCAGGACCAAGTGTGACCTCTAAGAGTATTAGGTGCTTAGCAATTAGCCTTAAGTATTTTAAAAACAAGCTGGTAAAACGTTGTATACATAAATTGAAAACCTCTTTTTAATCCCTGCCAATCTGTTCAATCCTATTAAATACTTAGATTTACTAATAAAACAAATTCGACAATGAAATGACAATTTGATTATTTATTGGCCCTATCGCTTGAAGAGCACTTGAGTTCATAAGTGGCTAAAACAATTGTAAACTGTTCAAGGAATCTCAGTGGGTCAAAGCAACAAAAGACATTCGGGCATTCTCAAGTCCTGGCAGCAAAAATATTTTACATTCCTCACCAACTTACCTCTCATAATGTATGTGTGGCAAAGTAAGAGTGCACTTGGAAAAACACTAAAAATGCAATCATGACACTTGGCAAACTTAATCAAACGATTAGGACTTTCAATTATTTGATAAAGCCGGAAACTATGTGCAGTACACCCGAATGCACTACCACAATTGCTTGAGTTGTTTGTTTCCCAGCTTGTTTGGGGAAAGAGAAACACAATGAAAAAAGTCAAACACGCAGACAGACCGAGAGTTCGGTTGCAAGTGCCACAGGCAGAAAAGTGGCTAAATGGGAGCCATTTCAAGAGGATGTGCTCTTGACTTTCGGGCGAAAATCACTGGGATTGTGCTGCATATGACTCTGGTGAACTATATTCAGATTTTAAGTATTTTAGTTTTGCATAAAACTTTGAATATTGCTTAAAATGGAAAGCTTGCCTAAATTTTTAAATTCATAAATTTTGTATTTAAAATATAGAAGTTAGACCCAAGAAAAAATATAATAAGTTAAGAGACTTGTTTGATTTTGGGTTAGTTTATGGATAATTGTTATGGGTTTATTGAAAATCTAGTATCAGTTTTAAACTGTATATTTCCACATAAACATCTTAAAAATATAAAAGTTTAATTAAAAATGCATTAGGCAACCTAAAACCTTCATTGGGGATACTAAAACTCTAAAACTTCACCCCTTTCATTATATTTAACTTTAAATTATCGTTACCGAAATACAAATTTAAGTTGAAGTAAATAAAAACTTTTTAAAGAATAAAACTTAAAGGTTTCCCAATGATTTCTTGGGCCCAAAAATTGGTTCACCTTATTCTAATAATTATAACTAAATTTATATCTCACCGATCTGTGTAAGCTCGCGTCATATTGTGGCATATCTCGCCGGCCTTGTTCTCCAGGTAACTCTGGATGCTCTTCAGGTGGTTGAGCGTCTGGTTGACCTGCTTGGCCCAGGGATCCCTCTGCAGTTCCAAGGCCGTCAGATGATATAGTATCTCGTTCTGCAGGTTCTCCAATGGCTGGAGAATAGAGGCCTGCAGCCGTTTGGACCGGCTGCCCAAGGTGGTCATGCGCGAGGACGTGGCCACATCCTGAATCTGGCGACACAAATCGGATGAGTGAATTGAATTACGGCTTTATGCAGTTCACGTAGCCGCCCCCTTTTAATTGAAACTAATCAGGGGGTTGGGAAGGGGGCTCAACATGGAGCCACCAGGTGGTCCACTCACCTGCAGGGCCACCCGCTGCATCTGATCAATGAATGTGGCCAAATCCTTTTCGGGCGTGGGCGCACCCACACTGCTGCGGTACGTGGTCAAATTG